CGTTGATAGCAAAGTGTGTGTTCGAATTTGAATTTTTGGGTGATGGGCATGATGAAAAATCGCAAACTTGGAAAAATTATGGAAGTTTCAGACTGTGACACTATTTTTGAAATGTATTATTTGCAGTTCTAGAAGCTTCTACTCGAATGAGATTACGGATTTAAAATTAAAAAAAGAGCACGGTATCCAATAAGACCTGAACATCTTTACAGGGAAGTTTGGAATGCAGAGAATTCCGAATGTGAAATCTTCGAAAGTTCGGATTATTCCAATTTTGAAAAATTTTAAAAATTCGGAATTTTGGAATTTGGAATATTCAGGTTTTAAAAAGTTAGAAATATTCCGATTTTGATAACTTCGGAATATCGAAATTTTCGGAATTTTATTCAAGTAAGCCAAAGATTGTCTAGAAAAGAAATCAATTTCAGAAGTTGGCTCAATAAAATGCAGGGATGTTCGAAACGCAATTCTCAAATCCGAATTCTTTTTTTTCCAAATTGGAGTTTTTTGGACTACGGTACGTCGAAAGCTCCTTGCCTCGCAAAATTACTATTATATTAATATTTTTTGCGTTTTCAAAATCTGTTTGTCAATCTCTCACCAATTTTAAGCATTTTTTGTATTAAGAAAGTGAGATTCCGATATTCCGAAGTTCCAAAATTAAAAAATCAAAATATTCCGGAATTTCGTAGTTTTGAAAATCGGAATTTCCCGAAATTTAGAAATTTAGAAAATTGGAACACTGCGGAATCTGGAATAAAACTCGGAATTTTCGACATTCCGAAATTCAAAAAATCCGAAAAAGCCATTCCGAACATCTCTGCTGTGTTACTATCTGGGACCATCGCAACAACCCTGGATGACCTCGAGGAATGGATTCTGGTACCTCTAACCGACTCATTTGGGGAATAGAAAATCAGAATCGGAAAAAAAATAAGTCTAGACAACTTTTTTATGTCCTTCTTGTCTCTTCTTTACCTTCTTTCTTTTCCATCACCATTCTCATTCATCTTCCACCTCCTTCTGTTTGACTAGTGCTTCTTTTTTATTGTAAATGAAAACGGAAAGAAGCAGAAAAAAGAGATCGATGAACGTCTCGAAAGGACTGGATGGGGATGGGATGGTAGTGGTGACAAAAAAAGTGAATCGAATTGAAAAGAGCGATGAATGAGTGAGTGAGTGCACAGTGTACACATTCGAATATAATACAAAAGGGGGAATAAAGAGTGAGAAGAAGAGGTGTTTTGTTTGAATGGGAGAGAGAGACATACAGAAACATACTCTTTCTCTCTTTTTCTCTTTTGAATCTTTCTTTTTTTTTTTTGAATTCAAAAGTTTAGTGTTTCGATTTGAGATGAAAGAAAAGAGAAATGGAGAGAGATGAACTTTTCATAGGCCAACTAATTCCGTTCATAGCCTCATTATTCCTTTGTTTCTCATTCGACAATGGGAACCAAGTTCAAAGAAATTTTAATATTATTGGAATTGGTAAAACGAACGGGTCTTGGGAGAAATCGGAAACAAACGGAAAATGCTGTAAAACCTGTAAACAGGCACTTTCAATTTTAGCCGATTTATCTCGCTATCTGTAAAAGATATGAAAAAGTAGTCAACTGATAAATTGTTCATCATGATATTATACACATTTTATCAATTGACACATTTTTGATATCTTGCAAAGGAGCCAAGAAAAATTAGCTCAAACTTGGTAGTGTGGGGGCCCTTCTATTTCAGGGGCTCTTCAATTAGAGGGGCCCTTCTAATACATGTTTTATGGTATCAGTGAAAATACGTTAAGCTTCGAAAAACGATCAAAAAGTTTTCGTTAGATCAGGAAACTTTCAGATACGCCAAACAAGAATAGATGTTCTATTTTTAACTTCCTGTTTTCTTTTTCAGTGTGAGCCAAAATGGTACACATATCAAATTGGACATGATTTTGACACTTTTATTTGGTTCAGAGCAGAATTTTTTATACGAACAAATTAGTATTCGAAAAAGTTCTTAAACATTTAGACAGAATATGATAACTGTTAAACATCTTGAGCTCAAATATCTAAATTCTCGTAAAAGATATCACTAAGTGGAAAACTGTTGAAACACTGGTGAAATTGTAATAAATATTTTATCAGTGTACTTTTGGATATCATTCACAGAAATCGAGATAATTGAGCTCAATGTTGACCGTGTGGTAAGCCATCTATTAACTGCACTTCGAAAAATAATTTCGAATCGTTCCCGTATACTTTTGCAGAAAGTTGTCCTCTTTTGATGTTTCAGCCATCAAATACCATTAAATTGATTTCAAAGAAAATCCCATTTGGTTTAACCCGAAATTAGGCATTTTGTAAAGCCTGAAGAGTACTTTAAAAAATATTCAATTTCCCCCGATTTATAGTCTAAAGAGCATTCCACAATCATTTTCATGTAAACTGCCGACGTCATCACAGAGATCCATCCTAAATTGAAAAGAAGAAAAGAAGAAGAAAAACGGAGTCGGTCACGGTGTGAAGACCTTGGTTATATCGCCTAATTGCCACATTTATAGTCGGTTTTCTTGCCGGTCCTCTCTCCGTTTTATGCACTATTCGGGAATGGTAAAACGATTGGTGGAGTGGTGTCTGTTAATGGCTGTTTGGGGCCGCAGTAGGCGAGAATCTCGAGAAGATGTGAAAGAGAAAAAAATAGAGATGAGAAAATGGGGAATACAAACGGATAGTTGAATAAAGAACACACCTAGAAAGATTGGATTTGGTTTTTATAGAGCCAGAATGCTTCCGTGATTTCTATTCGAACTTGGGAAGATATTAAGTTGGGAGAGGCTACACCGAAAAAAGAGAATATGGAAAAAGGATAAGCTACCTAAACTCAAGACTTTTTAATCCCACTATATAGGAACCTGAGATTTGTTCTCTTACGTCAACAAAAAAAACAACTCTTGATTATATTTTTTCAAGTTTATTGAAATTAAAATCTTATATACAATCAAAGAAAAGTTCAACTCGTAACACACAAAAAGATATTTAGAGATCTACAATAAATAATTGAATTAATAAAAAGAAAAATGATTTAATCGACCTCTTCAACAGTTGGTCCCTGTGGATAGTTGTTTGAATTGAATCCAGAAAATCCAGGATTTCCACATCCAGAAGAAGGTTGTTGCTGTCCAGATTGATGCATTTTGGAGAGAATTGATTGACAGACACACTTCAATTCCTTATCCTTTGCCTCAATCTCATCCTTTTCAGCCAATTGATTTGAATCCAACCAACGGAGAGTCTCTTCAACAGCTTCTTTCGCACGATTCGAATCTTCAGATGGCAATTTTGATCCGTATTCATCAAGAGCTTGTTTGACTTGGAATGCATATGCCTCCAACTGATTACGAGCCAACACACGTTCTCGTTGTTCTCCATCTTCCTTTTCGAATTGTTTTGCCTCGTTAACCATTCGATCAATGTCTGATTGAGACAATCGTCCTTTCTCATTTCGAATTGTGATCCGATTCGTTTTTCCAGTCGATTTATCCTCAGCTGACACATTCAGAATTCCATTTGCATCGATATCAAAAGTGACTTCAATCTGAGGAACACCTCGTGGAGCTGGTGGAATTCCACTCAATTCGAATGTTCCAAGACGATGGTTATCCCGAGTCATGGCTCGTTCTCCTTCGTATACTTGAATTGAGACTCCTGGTTGATTATCGGCGTATGTAGTGAATGTTTTTGATGCCTTTGTTGGAATTCTGGTGTTTCGATCAATGAGATTGGTCATCACACCACCAGCTGTCTCGATTCCAAGACTCAGTGGAGCAACGTCAACCAGCAATACATCTTTGATTGTTTGATCCTTGACTCCAGAAAGTACAGCTGCTTGAACTGCAGCTCCGAATGCAACAGCTTCATCTGGATTGATTGAGCAATTCAGTTCCTTTCCGTTGAAAAAGTCCTGGAGCATCTTCTGAATCTTTGGAACACGAGTAGATCCTCCAACCAAAACGACTTCATCAATGTTGGATTTGTCGAGCTTTGCATCTCGAAGAGCCTTCTCAACTGGTTCAAGAGTTTTTCGGAAAAGATCAGCACAGAGTTCCTCGAATCGAGCACGAGTGATCTTTGAGCACAAATCGATTCCTTCGAATAGAGAATCCACTTCAACAGTGGCTTCCGATGAGCTAGAAAGTGTTCTCTTGGCACGTTCACAGGCGGTTCGGAGACGTCGGATGGCACGTGGATTCGGTGAGATATCCTTCCCGGTCTTTCGTTTGAATTCATTCATAAAGTGTTGAAGCATTCTTTGATCGAAATCCTCTCCTCCAAGATGAGTATCTCCAGCTGTGGACTTGACTTCGAATATTGATCCTTCAGCAATTGAAAGGATTGAAACATCAAAAGTACCTCCTCCAAGATCAAAGATCAGTACATTCTTCTCTTCACTGATTCCTTTATCCAATCCATAAGCAAGAGCAGCTGCAGTCGGTTCATTGATGATTCGGATGGCATTGAGTCCAGCAATGGTAGCTGCATCTTTGGTTGCTTGTCTCTGACTGTCGTTGAAGTATGCAGGTACAGTAATCACTGCATCCTTGACTGCATGTCCCAGGTATGTCTCTGCAGTTTCCTTCATTTTCTGAAGTACCATTGCTGAGATTTCTTCTGGATTGAACTGTCTCTTTTTTCCTTTCATTTCCACTTCGATCACTGGTTTTCCTTGTTTTCCTTTTACGCCAAATGGCCAATGTTTGCAGTCTGATTGAACTGTTTCTTCATCAAAACGTCGTCCAATCAATCGTTTGCATCGAATACTGTATTCTCTGGATTACGAGCTGCTTGATCTTTTGCCGCATCTCCAACCAATCGTTCTGTATCAGTGAATGCAACATATGAAGGCGTTGTTTTGTTTCCTTCTGAGTTGGCAAGAATTTCAACCTGAAAATAAAATAGAATTATTTCCGATTCTTCTTTAAAAAGTTACAAATTAACATACCTTTCCATTCTGGTAGACTCCAACACATGAATATGTCGTACCGAGGTCGATTCCAATAGCTTTGCACGAAGACATTGTTTGTAGTTTGTAGTGAGAGCAGTAGAATTAGATTCTTCTGAGGGTGACATTCCCCTGATTCTGCCCAGCTTATATACTTTTTCATGAACATCTTCTGGAACCTTCTGGAACATTCTAGAAGCCAAAAGGCGGGTTCCTTCGCTGTACTCTCTTCTTCTCCCATTGTCTTTCTTCTCCCCAGTTGTATTTGTTCGAGAAGATTCTCGAACATTCGAAAAGAAGGAGAAGGAAAAGAAAAAAAGAGTGTGTCAAAGTAAGAGACGCAGACAGAAAAGGCAGAAGGGTGCCTCTTTGTTTGAAGAGACGTTAGAGAAAACGAGAGGAAAAGAGTTCAAGAATGTTCCAGATGGTTCCAGAAGATGTTCATGAAAAAGTATATAAGCTGGGCAGAATCAGGGGAATGTCACCCTCAGAAGAATCTAATTCTACTGCTCTCACTACAAACACAAACAATGTCTTCGTGCAAAGCTATTGGAATCGACCTCGGTACGACATATTCATGTGTTGGAGTCTACCAGAATGGAAAGGTATGTTAATTTGTAACTTTTTAAAGAAGAATCGGAAATAATTCTATTTTATTTTCAGGTTGAAATCCTTGCCAACTCCGAAGGAAACAAAACAACGCCTTCATATGTTGCATTCACTGATACAGAACGATTGGTTGGAGATGCGGCAAAAGATCAAGCAGCTCGTAATCCAGAGAATACAGTATTCGATGCAAAACGATTGATTGGACGACGTTTTGATGAAGAAACAGTTCAATCAGACTGCAAACATTGGCCATTTGGCGTAAAAGGAAAACAAGGAAAACCAGTGATCGAAGTGGAAATGAAAGGAGAAAAGAGACAGTTCAATCCAGAAGAAATCTCAGCAATGGTACTTCAGAAAATGAAGGAAACTGCAGAGACATACCTGGGACATGCAGTCAAGGATGCAGTGATTACTGTACCTGCATACTTCAACGACAGTCAGAGACAAGCAACCAAAGATGCAGCTACCATTGCTGGACTCAATGCCATCCGAATCATCAATGAACCGACTGCAGCTGCTCTTGCTTATGGATTGGATAAAGGAATCAGTGAAGAGAAGAATGTACTGATCTTTGATCTTGGAGGAGGTACTTTTGATGTTTCAATCCTTTCAATTGCTGAAGGATCAATCTTCGAAGTCAAGTCCACAGCTGGAGATACTCATCTTGGAGGAGAGGATTTCGATCAAAGAATGCTCCAACACTTTATGAATGAATTCAAAAGAAAGACCGGAAAGGATATCTCGCCAAATCCACGTGCCATCCGACGTCTCCGAACCGCCTGTGAACGTGCCAAGAGAACACTTTCTAGTTCATCGGAAGCCACTGTTGAAGTGGATTCTCTTTTCGAAGGAATCGATTTGTGCTCAAAGATCACTCGTGCTCGATTCGAGGAACTCTGTGCTGATCTATTCCGAAAAACTCTTGAACCAGTTGCGAAGGCTCTTCGAGACGCAAAACTCGACAAATCCAAGATTGATGAGGTCGTTTTGGTTGAGGATCTACTCGTGTTCCAAAGATTCAGAAGATGCTCAAGGACTTTTTCAACGGAAAAGAACTGAATTGCTCAATCAATCCAGATGAAGCTGTTGCATTCGGAGCTGCAGTTCAAGCAGCTGTACTTTCTGGAGTCAAGGATCACACAATCAAAGATGTATTGCTGGTTGATGTTGCTCCACTGAGTCTTGGAATCGAGACAGCTGGTGGTGTGATGACCAATCTCATTGATCGAAACACCAGAATTCCAACAAAGGCATCGAAAACATTCACTACATATGATGATAATCAACCAGGAGTCTCAATTCAAGTATACGAAGGAGAACGTGCGATGACTCGGGATAACCATCGTCTTGGAACATTCGAATTGAGTGGAATTCCACCAGCTCCACGAGGTGTTCCTCAGATTGAAGTCACTTTTGATATCGATGCAAATGGAATTCTGAATGTGTCGGCTGAGGATAAATCGACTGGAAAAACGAATCGGATCACAATTCGAAATGAGAAAGGACGATTGTCTCAATCAGACATTGATCGAATGGTTAACGAGGCAAAACAATTCGAAAAGGAAGATGGAGAACAACGAGAACGTGTGATGGCTCGTAATCAGTTGGAGGCATATGCATTCCAAGTCAAACAAGCTCTTGATGAATACGGATCAAAATTGCCATCTGAAGATTCGAATCGTGCGAAAGAAGCTGTTGAAGAGACTCTCCGTTGGTTGGATTCAAATCAATTGGCTGAAAAGGATGAGATTGAGGCAAAGGATAAGGAATTGAATAGTGTCTGTCAATCAATTCTCTCCAAAATGCATCAATCTGGACAACAACAACCTTCTGGATGTGGAAATCCTGGATCTTCTGGATTCAATTCAAACAACTATCCACAGGGACCAACTGTTGAAGAGGTCGATTAAATTATTATCTTCTCTTTTATCCAATTTGTTATATATTTTATTGTAGATCTCTAATTGTATACCTTTACGAGTTTTCTTTATCCTATTGTAAGTAATGTCTTTGTTTTTCAATAAATCGAATAATTTATAAGACTGTGTTTTATTTTGGTTTCCAAGGCATAAAAAACTATAAATCAAAAAATTGTGTCAGAAACAAATAACTTTCTTCTAGACTTTTCTAGAATATTCTAGAACTTTAAAACTTGAAAAAAATGATGATAAGATATTAGTTGAATATCTAATAATGTTTGGAAGTTATCCTATTCCAGTATCCAATGAAAAGTTCCGAAACCATCTTTTGATAATTTAAACAAACGTTGTTCTCAGTGAATCAGACTTTCTAACTCTCTGCGCCTCTTCTTCTCTGACATTCTCTCTTTTCCTCCGTTTCGGCCGACGTTTCATAATGAATGGTTGGAAGTTTTGAGCTGGACTCTTATGAAATCTCAACTGAAATGGGAGGTATAAAATGAAAAAGGTTTCACATGGAGAAATTAACCTCTTCTTCTATTTTATTGAGAGAATATGGATTTCGAGGCAGTTTTCAAGTTTGTTTCTCATTCTGAACGTGTCAAATGTGTGGATATTCATCCGGACCATCCATGGGTTCTGACTTCTCTTCATTCTGGAGTCATTCAAATATGGAACTATGAAACTAAAACATTAGTCAAAGTATTGAGGTAAGAATAGTTTCTACAGTATACCTTCAAATTCTCGAATTTCAGATTTATGAAAAATCAGTGAGATCTTCCAAATTCATTCCAAGAAAAAATTGGATTTGTACTGCTTCCGACGACGGACTAATCCGAATTTTCGATGTTCAATCATTTGCTCTTCTCCACGTATTTGAAGCTCATTCTGATTTCATTCGATCTATTACCATTCATCCAACTCTTCCATATATCATATCAGCTTCAGATGATAAAACTATCAAAGTTTGGGATTGGGAAAAAGAATTTCGTTTGGAGCAACAATTCGATGGACACCTGCATTATATCATGCAAATTGCATTGAATCCAAATGACTCCAGTATTCTTGTCAGTGCTTCTTTGGATAAAACTCTCAAAATTTGGAATCTTAGAGAAGAAAAGGAAATCGCAACATTGAATGGACATCAGAAAGGAGTGAATTGTGTTGCATTCATCGGAGATTCCACAATTATTTCTGGTTCTGATGATAACTCAATTCGCTTCTGGAACTATCAAGTATGCTAGAATTTTTGTTTTACTTCTGACAGTGTTTATTTTTCAGACGAAGCAGTGTATCGATTGTTTGGAAGGAGCTCATCAAAACAATGTTACTTTCCTGGCAACCGTTAAAGAATGGATCATTAGTGGGTCAGAAGACAACTTTGTCAAAATTTGGAATACAAAATCTCATCGGTTCGTTTTCAATTTTTTAAAAATTAAGTTACCGTAAAACCTCTAATAGAACGACACCCGGACCGTCCACTTTGAGCCTATATATCTCATTTTCTGCAAAAGATATCAAAAAGTGGCTAACTAGTAAAATGTTGCTGATATCCTGATAAAGATTTTACTAGTTAACCACTTTTTGATATCTTTCAAAAGAAGTGAGATATATAGGCTCAAAGTGGACGTTCCGGGTGTCGTTCTATTAGAGGTTTTACGGTAAATATTTTCCAGTTTGGGAAAAGAGTTGAACTTCGAAATGGGAAGAGTTTGGAGCATGTGTATCAATGATTCGGATGTCTTTTCTGTGGGTTTCGATTCAGGAGCTGTGGTTTCAAAGATTTGAATTTTCTTCGAAACAAATGTTCTGATCCCATAACTGTTGTATGAACGTATAAACAATTTCATTTGATTTCTGAACAAAAAGACAATAGAAAGTGTTGGGATAAACCGAGCAAAAGAGAAAAAGATAAATCCCGTACAAAAAATATATCTGTCACTGTTTTCATCTAAAAACCTGCTCGATTTGATGTGGCCAACAGAAGGCCACAATTAGGGCAATTGTGATCAATATCTTTTGATGCATCGCAACATAAACAGAAGAGAATAGGCCAGCAGAATAAAAATGTACCGAAGAAACAAATGAGCCACCAGCACACTCCAATGTGAGAGTTAACGGATGTCATTATTGTACTCTGGAAACTTTTGGTTACTGTATTGAAGCAAAACGTTCAGAAGAGCTATTATTCTGGCACCAACGATCGAAGCTGTGGAAGAGAAACTCTGGTGGCCGTGGCCGAAGGTCTCATAGCGATAACTACCGTAACCAAAAATATGCTATTTTTGCCGAGATTATATTTCTCGTCGTTTATTTCTTACGTATTGATCGTCGATAGTTTTCTTTTCCCCAAAAAAGTCGGAAAATAGAATGTTTGATATGTAGTGAAAAACTGACTTTAAAAAACGTTCGAAAATCGAGATAATAATCCGGAAAATAAACATATTTTTAGGTTACGGTAGTTATCGTTGTGGGACCTCCGGCAACGGTCACCGCCGTTTCTCTTCCACAGCTTCGATTTTTAACCAGAATAATAGCTGAAAAAAGGAGCTTAGCCAAAACTCCAAACACATACTACATTACTATTCGGAAGTGGGAATTTCAGAGCTTTTTATTAACCAACCTGACATTTTGGACAGAATTCCAAGAAGGGAGTTTTAATTGGTGTTTCCTGAATAACTTTCATAGCTATCCACATTTAAATACCTTCAAGAAACCTACTTTTACAACATGTCTAACCACTTTTACTGGCTGAATAACATGTGGAATAGGAAAATCATCGGGATAAGACATTTATCGATTTTCGAGGATGAGAATTTCTCAGTTAAGAAGAGTTTTAAAAATGACTGACAAGCGGTCTCTTTTTTTCTTTCGTTAGAGTTGGTTGGTAAAGTAATATCCATGTAAATATTTACTCTATAAAAAATGAGGTTCGCCCTCTTCTTCTTCCGAAATATAATGTATCTGCAATAGACTTCGATTCTCTGGTCATGTGTGGTGTATTGATGTGTCATACGGCAGCACCGGATTACGAAAAGATCTCAATTTTTGATGGCAAATATTGTTTTCGGACATCGCTTGCTGTGAAAACCAAAATTTGAAAAAGCGTGAATGTTTTCCAAGAGAGCGCGTTTGCATCATCATCAATAATCGCGATTGTCGCTCTATTTCCAACGCCAAAATGTGTCGTCCCTTCCGTTTTATTGATCTATCATCTCATCTATAAATTTTTTCGATACATCAATTGTTTTCAACTGTTTTAATAGGGTATCCGATTTTTCGAGGCGATTTTCGATCCAGTTTCTTTCAGTTGACGTTCGCTTAAGGGTTATGCATGCTATTTTTATTTTCTTTTTCGAAATTTGAACACATAAGTGAACTGGAGTTCAATCTTAACTGAAATTTTTTAAAAGTCATTTGAAAAGTTGAAGTTTTTCCTGCCAAAGCTGAAATTCGTTGTCGGATTTTCCGGATTCCTTGTTTTTTTCTCGTACCTTTTTAATTAACTAAAGAATCTCTATTGAATTATCATTTCAGCCTCATAACATAAAATGGCTCAAGAACTGTTCTTCGAAGTTCGTCGGCAGAAATTGCACATGTACCTCGACGCAGAGGAAGGCCAGACGGTGATGGATCTAAAAAGAATGGTCGCCGGAATCACTAGCGTTAGTTTCCCGTTTGAATAGGGTTTAGAAATACAAAATTTTGTTTTCAGGATCCAGTTCAGAACATGGAGTTGTGGAAGCTCGACGAGGACGGAAAAAAGAGCCAGGTTTTGCACGACACAGCTACTTTGGTCGATTGTGGATACTCATCGACGAATGCTAAAGTAAGAGAATGCGTTTTAAAATCTCAATTACTAAATTCCACTAAATTACAGGCTCAATCACCAGCCGCCCTAGGATTGCGACTCGTCGGAGCCGAAGAGCATCTTGAAATCCACGATGTCTCCACTCCACCACCGATTCCAGATACGATGCGCGCAGAACCAGCTCCACAAGATTAGATCTCACCTTTCCCACACTCTAAATGCTCCCTAAAATATTTGCTTCTTCTCATCATTTCTCTTCTCTTGGTCCGTTTCAATTCTCAACATTTTGAACATGTGTCTCCCTTCCGACTAACCCCACTGATAAATATATATTTTTTTGAATGTCCACCTTCAATGCATAAATATTGCACCAACTCTTTTTATTTGGTTTCATGCAAGTGGTTTCATCCTTTTGATTATACGTATTGAAATTCTAAAATTAAATTCTGAAATTCGTAAGATATTGAATTGATTCAGATTTCGTAAAATGTCCAAGAGGAAGCTGAATTCATCGAAATCCGAATCTTCGGCAAAAGTTTCGAAGAATGTTGATAATTTCACTGAATTTTGGGATCAAAATGTTGATTCTCTGGGAAGTGCACATTTAGCTGACATGAAAGCTCGAACAAAAAGTGCACAGAAAGTTGAGCTTCCTGGAATCGGTGCCACATCTATATACAAAGGAACTCAAGATTTCGAAGTTCAGACTGGTTCACTGGATATGTCAACTCTTGGGTGGAATGAGGGAATCGTCGAGAATATGACAACGATGCTAGAAGAAACTGAGGTAGAGGAGAAAGAAGAGATGCAAGTGGAAGATGAAAGACAAACAATTCTCAAATTAACAGCTGAATATAGAGATTTATTGACTATTTCTAAAGATCAAGCAGGATATCGGGTAGGTTTTATTTTTATATTGTTAGATTTAATTGGTTTGTTTCAGTCTATTTACTGTGCTCACATCATCCAACATCTCATTCGAAATAAGAATCTGATCATTGGAAACAAACGAAAATTGGAAGTTGCATCGGTGAAAGAGGGTGGAGCGGACGAAGAAACGATCGAATCGTGCAGAGATTCTGGTTTTGTCAGACCTGTTGTGCTCATTCTGTGTCCATTTAAAAAAGACGCCTATGATATCATTAACCGATTGAGGAAAATCATTCATGGAGATGGTAAGGTTCTCATTCTATTCATCTCGAAAAGATTGTAAAATTTTAGATGGAAAGGGAGAAGTTTGGAATAAGAATCGATTCGAAGAAGAGTACAGTGGGCCAACAGAGCTGCCAACTACCAGGGCTGATTTTCCAGAAGATCACAAAGTATTAAAAGAAGATGTTGTTTATAATATTCGACTTTCTTTTTTCAGGAACTTCTTCTTGGAAACAACGATGATGCGTTTCGAATTGGTATCGCGCTTTCTAAAAAAGTTTTGAAACTCTATGAGAAGTTCGAAAAAGCGGATATCCTCGTTTGCTCGCCACTAGGACTTCGAATGATTCTGAATGGAGATGATGGAAATGAATCTCATCTGATTAGTAGTATCAACTTGACTATTGTTGATAGGGTAAGCAAGGATATTCAGGGATTCTGACCAATTTTTCTGTTTTAGACAGACATCATGATTCAACAGAATTGGGAAAACGTGCAACTGATTTTCTCTCATCTCCACTCCCAACCCTCAAAAATCGATGTGGACATTTCGAGAGTGCGGAAGTTGTATCTCGGTTCGTTCCAAACTAATTCACAGTTTCTAAAATCTAAATTTCTTCAGATGGTCATTCGAAACACTTCTCCCAACTGTTGATGTTCTCTCGATATTCCCATGAATTGTTCACTTCTCTAATTCTCCAAAACTCTCAAAACCACCGTGGTCTTGTGGTTGCCAAACCTAAACAAGCAGGAACCTTGAACGATGTTAGCTACTCTCCTCATTTGATCATGAATTATCTAATCGTGATCGTGAAATATTTTCAGATTGAAATCCCACTTTGCCAGGAGCTCCACAAGTTCGAGGTGAAGGATCCAAATGAAACATCAGATCTGAGATTCAAGTATTTTGTGGATAAGGTATTTCTTTATTTTTCATGTTCCAACTGAAAATATTTTTGATTTTCAGATCATGCCAACTATGATTCCACGAACAGTGATTGTGATCCCATCATATTTCGATTTCGTCCGGGTCCGGAATCATCTGAAGAAGGCGGAAGAGAGTTTTGTGATGTGCCATGAATACGCGAGTCGATCGAAATTGGACAGAGCCAGAGAGATGTTCTATCACGAGAGGAAGAGCTATTTGGTGGCTACTGAACGTTGGTATTTCTTTAATAGAAGACAGCTAACGGTGGGTTCATCTTTCAAATATTTTGAGTTTGAGTTTTATATTTCCAGGGAGTTCATCGTTTAATCTTCTATCAACTTCCTTCCCATCCCCTCTTCTATTCTGAATTCATCAATATGTCAGATGCGGATACTTCGCAACGTTTTCTGGCAGTTCTACTCCTATGCAAGTATGACCGAATTCGACTGGAAAACACTTTTGGTACTGAAATGGCGGCGGCTGTTATGGCCAATAAACAGACAGTGCAGGCTATTGTGAGCCATTAGTCATTCGAAAAATCATGTTTTTTCGTTACTGTTATCATGTTTTTTCGTTCTTTAATGTTGAGTTGTTTGAGTTTGTTTTTTTTTCAATTTAATTTTCACCTGTTATTGTTACACGGTGTAACTTACACCTATTACATGAAAATTTGTTTATTTATATTTCCGCCATTTGTGAGCTCTCTATGTTAACATTAGGATTGAACTTTTGGCTTTGTTAAAAATCATTCAAAAGTTTCTAGATCTGACTATAGAACTGCTGTCCAACAGTTGTTTATTTTCCGCGCGGAACACAGAACTACAGCCGTCAGAAAGCGAATCGAAAGATGAAGAAATAACATGGTTTCGGCGGAGAAATGTCACTTCCGCCCAATGACTTTCCGTTCTTTATCGATTTTCTCGCATCTTTGTTGGCAGAAAAGAGTCATTTTTTATTATTAGTTCCTTTTTGATGACCTGGACTCTCATGTTTTATTCATGAGATGCCTTTTTTTTCAACAGTTCGAAGCCAACTCCCACTGTAATCAAAAATTCATCATCCTCTCCTTTTTGTCAGTTCAAACAGTTTCTGCAAACACTCTTCATTTAAATTATCAAAATTAAAATCATCCCTTTTTCTAGATGAGATTTCTTATCCATTTTCTAATAGCTGTCTCTTTGCCATCCATCACTTATGGATATATGGGAGCAGTTATGGGAAAGCTGACGACTTGTGACGATGCGAAAACGAATTTGAACAAGGATTGGGATGCGAAGGATTTCAGTGCATTCACATGTTCTTCTTCTATTCATTACGCTGTTCAGAAGGTACGGTAGGCAGAAGTAGAGAATTTGTTCTGGTGCACAAAAAATCGGAGCTGTGGAAGTGAAAATCTGGTGGCCGTAGCCGAAGGTCCCACAGCAACAACTACCGTAGCCTAAAAATGTTTTTATTCTCCGTATTTTTTCTCTCGTTTTTCAATGCTTTTCGCCGAGTTTTCTGTTTTCCGCCGGAAAACCAAAAAATTCAGATAGTGAAAAACTAGACTGAAAACGCGCGAAAATCGAAAAAATAAAAAGGTTACGGGTAGTTGCCGTAGATCTCAGACCACGACCACCGATGTTTCTCTTCCACAGCTCTGATTTTTTTTTTGCACCAGAACAACATCATATTCCCAAATTTTTATAAATCCTAGATAAGGAATGCTTATAAATTCTAGATGAGGAATACTAAATTCCTACTCGAAATGTGTGTTGCACACAAATGGAAAACTAGAAATACCCTGACAAATAGTTTCTCGAAAATTCTAAATTTATATTGGGTTCCGGATTTGAAATATCTTTATGTGAACAACAGCGACTTTGTTTTCTAGGACATTGACCCAGTTTTCTTCGATATGGTTCAACAGAACAGCTCGTATGATCCAAGAAAAGACCAAGTGATGCACAAATGTATGGATGAAAGTATCGAATATGAAGATCGCATTCCTGTCAGGTACATATAACTTCTGAAATTTCTCCGAAACTTGGAATCTTTTAGAGGAGATCATCGTCCAAATTGGGCTCGTTTCGGAGAGTATTTGTATGTGCCAGTTCAAAGATGGCTTCATAATTTAGAACATGGATCAATTGTTCTTTTGTATCATCCATGTGTCGATCTGGATGAGCTCAACAAATTGAGACAATTAGTGACGTCTTGCATCTATCGTCACGTCATCACACCGTATATCAAGTTGACAGCTGAAAGAGTTAGTTTTTGAAAAAGTATGTCAGAATAACCGAATTATTTCCAGCCATTGGCTTTGGTTGGATGGGGATCTCGATTGGAAATGAATTCGGTGGATGAGAAAAAAGTGGTTGATTATATGAAGAAGTATGGAAATCGAGCACCGGAAGAGATTACTCGTGATGGAAAATATGATGAATATTTGATTCAAGAAGCCAAATTTGTCAGTGGAGAAGAGGATTCGAAGATTTGTCCAAATCATTGATTTTGAGCCATTTTGAGATTTTTAAATGTGAACACCGGTTTTTTATTTATTGTGATGAATTCCAAATTTTCGAAAATTGTGTTGAATGTTTTGTTTTTTTTTGTTTCTCCAAAATTACAGGCTCAGTCAGACTGAAAGTCCTTGTTCTCTTTTAATCCGAGAAATAGCTCGAAATTTTGAGTTGTTTTTCGATCCAATATCTACAGTAACCCGATTTCTTTGGACTTGATTTTTTTTTCTAAAATTCAATTTTCTTCTAGTCTGTATCGTCGAAAAACCAAGAAGACTGTTTTTTTCTCAAAATGGACAGAATCCAATTTGGTTTAAGTTTACACTTCAAGAACTTTTCCGCCCTCTTCTTCTAATAACAAAAACCTCTTTTTTGTTGAAAAGATTGAGATGATGATTCCCAGAGAAAACGAGAAGGAGGAAGAAAACAACTGATGATATGGGAAATGGTTCAAACTAGGAAGTATCTTGTCTCCCACCACCCGTACTATAATCGTGTCCTTTTTCGATAAGGAAGGAAATTGAATCGAACTGTTCTACATTAATTACGATGAGAAGTTTTGGCAAGAAAAAGGCGGATGCTGGGAAGATGTGACCTTCAGTTGAGAAAAAGACAGAACTCAATCACATTTTCCTCGTTTCTCATTTTGGTTGTAAACATTCTGAGATGCAGTATAAAATGGTCTTCTGGAGACTGAAATGGCATCCTTTACTCAAAAAGGTTCCGAAATAGTAATGGACGATATTACTAGAAGAAACGCTTATCGTTTTGTCGCCTACTCGGCTGTCACTTTCTCTGTTGTTGCTGTGTTTTCGGTAGGAACATCCATAGATATCTAAAATTAAATCCTCTAAAATTTCCAGCTATGCATCACTCTGCCATTGGTCTACAACTACGTTCATGGAATCAAGACCCAAATCAACCATCAGATTTCGTTCTGCAAACATTCCGCTCGTGATATCTTCTCCGAGGTTAGCCACATTCGTTCCAATCCAAACAACGCCACTCTCCGCGAGAAGCGGCAAACTGGAGAATGCTCTGGATGTTGCCTTCCAGGAGCTGCTGGACCAGCTGGAACACCAGGAAAGCCAGGAAGACCAGGACGTCCAGGAACTGCTGGACTTCCAGGAAACCCAGGAAGACCACCAGCACAGCCATGTGATCCAATCACTCCACCACCATGTCGTCCATGCCCACCTGGAGCACCAGGAGCTCCAGGAGCCCCAGGACCACAAGGAGATGCCGGAGCTCCAGGAGCACCAGGGTTCGGAAGCGGAGTTGGAGCACCAGGACCAGCTGGACCAAAGGGAGCCCCAGGAGCCCCAGGAAGACCAGGACAAGCTGGATTCCCAGGACAACCAGGAGCTGATGCTCAATCCGAATCTAGCCAAGGAGCTCCAGGACCAGCTGGACCCCAAGGACCTCCAGGACCATCGGGAGCACCAGGACATCCAGGAGGATCAGGATTCCCAGGAGCACCAGGACCAAAGGGACTATCTGGAGCCCCAGGACAGCCAGGAGCTAATGGAAACCCAGGAGCTCCAGGACAACCAGGACAATCTGGAGGATCCGGCGAACGTGGAATTTGTCCAAATTATTGCGCCATTGATGGTGGAGTCTTCTTCGATGATGGAGCCTTCCGCAGGCGTTAAATTCTTTTTCTCTAATTATATTTTTAGATTCGAGGATTCTTTCTCTCTGAATAAAGAATAGCTTCAAATTTCGATTGGTTTATATCCCAAAAAAGATCAGAAAATACACGAAATCAACTATTTAAAAAGTTCTCATGGGAGAGCTTGATACTCCAGCTACTGCCATGAGGGCCGCGACCTAGGCCGAAGATAGCCTCCATAGTCTAACCATGATGCCTCATTAATAAAAAGTACTTCTGTCAAAGTTAAAATTTATGCATATTATTCCTTCTCGGTTAACAAATTGATGTCTAACAGATTTTCGTTCAAAAACGATGCCTTTATTCACAGTGAACGTTTATTTCTGACAAACTCTCTTTGGCGGAAGAGACTGAATACCTTATAAACCGACATTTACTTTCATGTTTCTGTTCAGTACTGTCATGTGTTTTTATCAAATTGCAAAATGAAATTCTTTATTGCGATCAAAAGTATATCTACTTTCTTCTGGTTCCATCTTCGAAGAAGACTCCTCCGTCGATAGCACAGTATTTTGGACAGATTCCACGGTTTCCAGCTCCCCCGGCTTGTCCTGGTTGTCCTGGAGCTCCTGGGTTTCCGTCGGATCCTGGCTGTCCTGGTGCTCCAGATGGCCCCTTTGGTCCTGGAGCTCCTGGGAATCCTGGTCCTCCTGGGTGTCCTGGTGCTCCAGATGGTCCTGGTGGCCCTTGTGGTCCAGCTGGTCCTGGTTGTCCTGGGGTGTTCTGAGATTGGGCATCAGCTCCTGGACGTCCTGGGGCTCCGGCTTGTCCTGGGTTTCCTGGCTGTCCGCGTGGTCCCTTTGGTCCAGCTGGTCCCGGTGCTCCAACGCCACCTCCATATCCTGGTTGTCCTGGAGCTCCGGCATCTCCTTGTGGTCCTGGAGATCCTGGTGCTCCTGGTGGTCCTTGTGGGCAAGGACGGCATGGTGGTGGAGTGATTGGGTTGCATGGCTGTGCTGGTGGTCTTCCTGGGTTTCCTGGGAGTCCAGCGGCTCCTGGACGTCCTGGTCTTCCTGGCTTTCCTGGGGTTCCAGCTGGTCCAGCGGCTCCTGGAAGGCAGCATCCAGAGCAGGATCCACCACTGCTGGGGGCAGATGCAAATGAGTCAACAGCTCCAGAGTTGAAATCGTATCCAGCTTGACGGGCGGAACGGGTGTTGTTATTCTTTGGATTCGAACGGATGTGGTTGACTTCGGAGTAGATATCACGGGCGGAATGTTTGCAGAATGAGATCTGATGATCAATCTGGGTCTTGATGGTGTTGACGTAGTTGTAAACCATTGGGATGGTGACGCAGAGCTGAAATTGAAAAACGAAGAGTTTTCAAAATTAAAAGAAACAGACCGAAAACACAGCTACCACTGAAAAAGTGACGGCTGCATAAGCCACATATCGATAGACGTTTCTGCGAGTGATATCTTCCATTTTGTTTCTTCGAAACGAAAGAATGATTTGAACGTCGTCAGGGACAACCTTTTTATACTCTTCTCTGATGTTCTCTCTTCATTTCTCAAAGTTTCAAAGTTCACCTCAATCCATCTTTTTCTCGGTTTCTCTCATCGTTTAACCGTTGTCAAGGAACTGAATGTAGAAGGAAGTAACTTGTTTTTCTTATCTTTTTTCTCTTTTAACTTTTTTCTGATTGTTTCATGTTAATAGAGGTGACACAACACAGAGAATCGAGGACAGAAAACCGAAAAACACATGATTCCTTTGAAGGTGATGTAATGGAACGGTTTGCAGGAATTGGTAACCTTGAATTATTGAGAGCGAAAATTGTTTTGATACAATTCACTGCTAATTAGGGAATAGAAAATTTTCAGTTTTATGAAGGTTATATCAGAAGTTCTTCATACCAACCAGAGATGTCAGGAATTGAAATTTTTAAGCCCGGAAGTCGGAAGTCGGATCCTCCAGATTGCTCTGGTTGTCCTGGAGCTCCTGGGTTTCCATTCGCTCCTGGATGTCCTGGTGCTCCGTATGGTTGTGGTGGTCTTTGTGGTTCAGCAGGTCCTGGAGCTCCTGGGCCAGATTCAGATTGAAAATCAGATCGTGATTGTCCTAGGAATACAGCTTTTCCTGGTCTTTCTGGAGTTCCTGGGGCTGCTCTTGATCCAGCTGGTCTTGGTGCTCCTAGAGCTGCGGCATCTCCTTGTGGTCCTGGGGGCTTTGTGATCTCTTGGTGCTCCAGCTGGGCATGGACGGCATGTCGGGATGGAGTGAAGGTCCATCTGGAACATAGGATTTAGGCTTTAATCATATCGACCATCCGTTTCTGGTCATTCACTAGCTTTTGGGCCCTATTGGACTGTACGAGTCTTCATTTTTTTCTTATCATAATCGCCAGGTCATCCACTTTTCGATTCCATTGTCTTTCAAAATCTCATGTTTTCGAACCATTTCCTTCTCTAACCAACTTCGCACTCAAATACCAAAATCACCTTGTCTGATCCTCCCCAAACCAGTTTTGAAAACCAATTTATCAGCTGGATCTATTTCCACAATCAAACATCTGTCTTGTTTCTCACCTCTTGACCACCGCCCTTTTAAAAAGAAGAGATAGAGAACTGATAAAGTTGAGAGTTGAAACAGTTCTTTATTCAGAGAGAAATAATCCTCGAATCTAAAAAAAATAATTAGAGAAAAGGAATTTAACGTTTGCGGAAGGTTCCATCATCGAAGAAGGCTCCTCCATCAATGACGCAATACTTTGGACAAATTCCACGTTCTCCGGATCCTCCAGATTGTTCTGGTTGTCCTGGAGCTCCTGGGTTTCCATTGGCTCCTGGCTGTCCTGGGGCCCCAGATAGTCCCTTTGGTCCTGGTGCTTCTGGGAATCCTGGTCCTCCTGGATGTCCTGGTGCTCCCGATGGTCCTGGAGGTCCTTGGGGTCCAGCTGGTCCTGGAGCTCCTTGGCTAGATTCGGATTGAGCATCAGCTCCTGGTTGTCCTGGGAATCCAGCTTGTCCTGGTCTTCCTGGGGCTCCTGGGGCACTGACATCAGACAAACTCTCTTTAGCGGAAGAGACTGAATACCTTATAAACCGACATTTACTTTCATGTTTCTGTTCAGTACTGTCATGTGTTCTTATCAAATTGCAAAATGAAATTCTTTATTGCGATCAAAAGTATATCTACTTTCTTCTGGTTCCATCTTCGAAGAAGACTCCTCCGTCGATAGCACAGTATTTTGGACAGATTCCACGGTTTCCAGCTCCCCCGGCTTGTCCTGGTTGTCCTGGAGCTCCTGGGTTTCCGTCGGATCCTGGCTGTCCTGGTGCTCCAGATGGCCCCTTTGGTCCTGGAGCTCCTGGGAATCCTGGTCCTCCTGGGTGTCCTGGTGCTCCAGATGATCCTGGTGGCCCTTGTGGTCCAGCTGGTCCTGGTTGTCCTGGGGTGTTCTGAGATTGGGCATCAGCTCCTGGACGTCCTGGGGCTCCGGCTTGTCCTGGGTTTCCTGGCTGTCCGCGTGGTCCCTTTGGTCCAGCTGGTCCCGGTGCTCCAACGCCACCTCCATATCCTGGTTGTCCTGGAGCTCCGGCATCTCCTTGTGGTCCTGGAGATCCTGGAGCTCCTGGTGCTCCAGGTGGGCATGGACGACATGGTGGTGGAGTGATTGGATCACATGGCTGTGCTGGTGGTCTTCCTGGGTTTCCTGGAAGTCCAGCAGCTCCTGGACGTCCTGGTCTTCCTGGCTTTCCTGGTGTTCCAGCTGGTCCAGCAGCTCCTGGAAGGCAACATCCAGAGCATTCTCCAGTTTGCCGCTTCTCGCGGAGAGTGGCGTTGTTTGGATTGGAACGAATGTGGCTAACCTCGGAGAAGATATCACGAGCGGAATGTTTGCAGAACGAAATCTGATGGTTGATTTGGGTCTTGATTCCATGAACGTAGTTGTAGACCAATGGCAGAGTGATGCATAGCTGGAAATTTTAGAGGATTTAATTTTAGATATCTATGGATGTTCCTACCGAAAACACAGCAACAACAGAGATAAGGAAGTCTAACTAGGAAGGTCATTCAATGCCTTCTTCATAGTGTAAATCAAAAAGAACGGTACTAGGATAGTAGTTTCCGTATTTTACTTCCTCTTTTTTCTTCCGTTTTGAGGAGAATTGCGGTAGGTAGAAGGCACAGAAAAACGTAATTAAACTACGAGAAACCAAAAGAAAAACTTTATTTTTTACAACAAGAAAAGAGTGGACCTTGAATTCGAATTTGATCAGCATTCATCTGAAAATTAAATCTAATTAGAATGTATTTTCCCTGAAAAACAACAAACCATCATCTTCACCATCGTCATTATCAATATCAAATTGCCTTCCATTTCCACCTCCACGTTTCTTTCCATCAGAATTGATCACAATGATATTGGGTTGTCCATTTCCATTCTGACCATTCATTCCGTTCTGTGGAACACCTCCTAAAATTTATTTTTCTGAAAAGGGAGGCAGAGGAGATAATAATTCATGTCTTCAGTGACTTAAATTGATAAACGTCCGGGTGTCAACTTTATCAACAGGAAAACTACCGACTTGTTTCTAGCCCAGTGCAGATTTACTGGACCGTCACCCCACCAGTAATCTCTGATATTTTGAGGCTCCTCAAATTTCGAGAATCAAAATTTCCAGAGAAAAAATTTCAGGAAAAGTGGGCGGAGTCACTGGGAAGCCAAAACTGCAAGTTGCGCACGGTTTCGGCAAAACCGTGATTGCAGTTTTGGCTCGACCCCTGACTCCGCCCACTTTTCCAAGGAAATTTTTTCTCCGGAATTCTAGGGGCCCCGATACTTAGCACACGAGTTCTATATACCGTAAAACCTGATTTAAAAGGGCCCTTCTATTACAGGGACCCTTCAGTTAGAGATTCCCTTCTATATTTCGGCATTTTCCACTAAATTTTTTCAACGAAAAATTCGGCGAATTTCTGCTAAAAATTCATGAAAATCTATTATTTAGTTTTATCTAAAAGGTCTTTGAACAAAAAAGTTGTGTATATTTTTCACTGAAAACGTATGGAACTTTTTAATTTCATACAGCACATTTTGAAAGGCCCTTCTAATACAGGTCTTACGGTTAAACTTTTTCAGTATGCTTACCTGGAGGATAATAGAAACCACCTGGTGGTGGATAAGGATAATGGTAGCCAGGAGGATATGGATATCCAGGTGGATAGTAGCCATTTGGTGGTGGATAGGGAGGATATTGGCCATTGAAACCATTTCCGTTGTTGTGGCCGTTGTTACTATTTCCATTACCATTGTTAACATTGTTACCGTTTCCGTTACCATTGTTACCATTTCCGCTGCCATTCCCACTACCATTATTGCCATTTCCGTTGTTTCCGTTTCCATTGTTCCCTCCACCATTTCCAGTCCCGGAATTTCCATTTCCATTATTCCCTTTTCCAGTATTACTGTTCGAACCAGATCCATTCCCATTATTTCCAGAATTACTGTTTCCATTACTGGAGCTTCCAGAATTGGAGTTGTTATTGTTGGAACTATTTGAGTTGGATCCACTATTTGATCCTGGATTTGTTACAATTATATCATCTCCTTGAAGATTTCCAGTTGGATCTTCTGCGATTGGTGGCTTCGTGGTTGATGGAGTTGTTGTTGGAACTGGAGTGGTTGTTGGGACAGGCGTTGTCGTGGCATTTGGATCTGGTGTGGTTGGGACTCCTGGGTTTACACAGTGCCTGCAAATTTGGTTTATGACCTAGGTTTTTTAGGGGCGGTTATTGTCAATTCAAAAAAGATCGCGCAGATGAATTTGTGAACAACAACGGGGTTTACTGAAGACTAGGCTTTTTATTTTTACTCGCGAACATTGTCATGCTAATGGTGTACAAACAGGGACGGAGCTTAAAATGTGCAACAAAAAAAGAAAGAGAAAGAGTTCTGAAGTATTCAAATATTCTAAACTGAAACCTAAGAAATAATAAATTCCAAAACATTTCCAAAGCATGTTCTTCAGGCTACAGTAACCTGAATAGTTTCACTCACATCGTAATAGCATTAAGCGACCAGTCTCCATAAACAAGCAAGTTTCCAATTTCCCAATTAGTAGGGTTCCGATACCTATAGTTTTTGATCTCAATTCCCCCCATAAAAACTTTGTAAGAATCTAGGGTTCTCCTGAAAAAAAAGGAAATTCAAAATGCAAAATCTGAATATTATCTCATACAAAATGGAAATTGTGTATGGATTGTCAGACATATATGGTTGCGTTCCAAATTCCTCTGGTCCCCATCTTCCCTGAAATTGTTCAATAAATCTTTGAAGTGACTACTGTAAGGCTTCAATTTTGGACGGTTAAAAATCGGTGACTGCCGACCGAGCTGCGGTCGGTCGGCCGGCTAAACTTCCCGCCCGCATGGAAGCCTTAAGGCGCCTGTATACTCACATTCCAACTATTATAGATGATCGAGTTTCTTCTGTACTGAACTCTCACATGAATCGAAACTGGACTTCTTTCATAAACACTGTCAAATCCACGGTACAAGTGGACATAAGACCTGGGGAAGATAGGAAATGTTGCTTCTGTGGGTTGCACTTACATATTTGCATTATGGTTGACTTTTCCGGTTACTGTAATTTTGTCTCCGATTTCCATCGGCCTTGAGAATCGAATCATTTTAAAGTGAAGGTTTTCTCCCTTCTGAAAAATTTATTGTTTTAGAGTTTCAGCCAAAGAGTTATAGTACCAATGTGTTGCAGTTCAACCATGACATATCCTGTCTTGCTGAAGTGGCAGGTATCCGTGCTAGAATTGAAGTAAAAAGAAGGAGAAGCAACATTTTAAAAGGAAATGGTTGCACACAGAAAGGGGGCGAAGAATCGAACAGAGTTTTATATCGTTTCGGGTTTTCATCGAACTATTTTTTGTTACCTTAAAGAGAGTTATGACCGGAAAAGCGATAAAATATGGTGGTTGCATACAAAACTTTAGATTTTGAAGATGTTTCAAATGTTCAGAAGTTTCCTCCTATGTGGTTATTATAAGGGTTCAAACTACAGAAATTGAACGAACTCTGAAAACTTTGGTGACAAATGTAACTCCAAATTCTTCGAAAAATCGGAAAAGGTTGAAAAAATTCGGGAATTCCCTTTTAGTAGATGATAATGAGAATATTCGCTTGGGAATTCGCTTAATTCTGAAAAGGATTACTGTAGGTGGAAAAATGTTCCGAAATGAAAAGGGTTAATGTAGTTGAAAAAACATTTGAAAATGAAAAAGGTTACTGTCGGTTGAAAACTACTCGAAAGTGAAATGGATTACTGTAGTTTCAAAACTATTCGAAAATGAAAAGGATCACTGTAGGTTGAAAAATATTCAAAAATGAAAAGGGTTACTGTAGGTGGAAAAAGTTTCCAAAATGAAAAGGGTTACTGTAGTTGAAAAATTGAAAGTGAAAAAGGGTTACTGTAGGTTGAAAAATATTCGAAAATGAAAAGGATTACTGTAGGGAAAATATTCCACCCAACGATGAAATCGCTCAGATTTGTGTGTGATAAAAAGTGGAACATGCACCTAGAAGAATTGTCTAGTAGAAGTTTTTTCACCAGTTCCAAAAGCAAAGACGTGAAAATCGAAATTTTATTTATTTTTGTATCAAAACATGGACATCCTGAATCGTCGACGTCTTCAAAAAGAATGGAAGCGTTTCGATGAGGAAGTTGAAGTGGAATACAAGAAAACTTCAGAGTAAGCTAGATTCATCTGAGTCATGTATACTGACTATGAGTTTTCTATTCCAGAGAGACCAATCTCATTAAAATTGATGTAGAGCCGAACGACGTGGAAATCACACTCACCAGGCGTGGATTTTGGGAGGTAGAACAAGAAGAACATGATCTGAAATTGAAAAAAACAGAGAAATTTCAGCATGATGTTGTGAATTTGTCTTCTTTTGATGTGGTCTGTCGTGTTAGAGCAACAAATTCAAAACTGTTTTCGGTGAATAGAAATGCATTTCATTTGAAACCAAAAGAGGTTTTCTTGTTGAAAGTGAGTTCTAATAAAGATTTTAAAGATATTCTTCACATAATTCTTGAGGTGTCTCGTGCTCCTCATGAGATTCGATCTCATCATTTGAAAATCGATGTCACAAAGTACACACAATCGTTCAATCCAGCGAGTTTCCTCGACTACTTCGTTGGCCCATACGCCTACAAAACGTTTATTATTCGATATCATGGAGCCCCGAGATATTGGTCAGATGCATTGGAAATGAATGATTGGATGACAGGATTGCCGTTAGATCCAAACTGGAAAGCAGGAGTGAAGAAGACGTCCAAAGAGAAGAAATCATCGTTGGAGACTTCTGAAGCTAGCAGTGCGAATGAAAATCTGGAAGAAGAAACGGAAGAAGTGAATACTTCCCATCAGGTAGTCAGTGTATCGCTACAGACAAAAAGGTTTTTTTTTCAGGCCAAAATGAATGACGCCAATATGTTGATAATGTCGAATCAAGTACCAGATGAAGTCAAAAAAGAAGAAGGGCAAGAATTTGATTCGACCGATTCCAGCGATTTCGATGAGACACTGGAAAACGAGCTTGCGAATTTGAATATGTCATAGGAACGAGAACACATAAATTTTTTTATTTGGGAGAACATTTTATGAATAAAAATTTTTGTTAATTTTCGTACATCAGGTTTTTCGTCTAATGTTCTACATTAAACCGAGAAAGCCAGCTCTTATTAGATAAATGTTTACTAGATTCCCCGAGTAACGAATTTCAGCAGAATAAAAAACAAAATTCCTTTTGAAAGGTGAGGGGACATTAAAAGAATAACTTGTCGAACTTTTTTTTTTAATTTTTCCCTTTGAAGGAGGTGAGCCAGAAAAAAAAGTTGATGGACAGTTTGGGGAACGAAATCGCGACGACCTTATTCAGGCCATCAGTCTGTCGCCGGCTTCGCGCCCGCGTAGCTGAGCCGGTAGCGGCGTTGTACCTGATCTGTCCCTCACGAGTTCAACTCCATATGGGAGTTATCTAGGCAAAACATCTAGGAAACTTTTTTTTAATGTCTGGTATCCTTTCAAAGCCTAAAAAATTGATGATTGTCTTGTGACCCATTTAGCTCATAATAGTAATTTTTATTTCGAATTCCTGAACAAAAAAAATTAAAGGGGTCCCCTTATGAGGGGATAAATATGATAAGATTTGAAAAATGAAAGCGGAAAATATTAATATACAACACATTTTATTGAGGATGCATCAAGTAAAAATTCAAAAAAATTTCGCTTAAATCGACGTGAAATAATCTTGCCTCATGACCTAGATGACATGGCTTTTCTGCACGCATCAGATTTGCCAACTGGTGATGACAATTCGGTATATCAACAAAAAGTACGATTCAGTCAAACTTGAAATTGAAACTTGAATTGGAAACTTGAAATTTCGAAAAAGGATTTATTTTAGAAGTTTTGAAATAAAAAAGATTTTGTGAAAATCCAAAAAGGGGGAATTTTAAAAAACTATAAAAAATGAGATTTTTGAACAAAATTGGAGGTTTTTGAAAATTTGAAAAAAAGTATGATTTTTGTAAATTGACAAAAATGAGACGTTTGGAAGTTAGAAGAAAATCAGGGATTTTCTTGAAAATTGGGGAAAATCTAAAAATAGAAGTTTTCGAACATTTGAAAAAGTTTTGATTTTGGAAATTCAAACGAAAAAATTTTCCGAAAATTCTAAAAATGGAAACTTTGAAAAGTTCGAAGAGAAATCAGAAATTAGACAAAAAAAAAGGATTTTTGTAAATTAGAAGAACTTAGGATTTTTTTATTCGACGAATTCGAAAAATGGGAAAAAGTGGGAATTTGAAAATTTGAATAAAATGGGAACCATCCGTCACAGTTTTTCTTTCATTAATCTTATTTTTGAACTGACATAATAACCGAAAACGTGGAAGTTGCAGGAAAAACCATTTTATATTGAATGGATCAAACACAATATTAAAGTGTACTTAATGAGATTAAGTTTCAGGTTGTGAAACATGGATTCGAATTCTTCCATAAACAACAGCTTCTAACCATCTTTGGAGCATGTAACAACAGTGAAAATGTAAGTTGTTTTTTTTTTCCTTTTTTACTAGTAACCAGCAAATATGTTCTTCAGAATAAGGCAGTTCAATCGTGTTTGACATCAGAAGGAATGCTGACTTTCAGAAGATTCCAATCTCTTGATGGACTCGAAGATGGAGACGATGACGATCTCACAGAAGGTGAAGAAGAGTAAACTCGAAAGGAAACTTTTTCAAAACTCGTTAATAAATTCTTGTTTATTTATTTTAATAATTTAATTGCCTATCGCGACTTTAATAAAATAAGACACATTATAAATGTTCATTCTAAACTGGCTGAGCCAATTTAGATAATCTAAACACTAGATTTTCTTAAACCAAGACATGGTTGAAATCACAAAAAAGAGGAATAATTTTTTCAGTCGCAGAAAATCAGACATTCTTTTTTTTTATTTGAAGAATTTTCACGGTATTTCAAACCAACGGGTCAAAAATCGCGTCCCAGATAACTTTTAGGCCAGGCGAAATTTAATAATTTAAAAGTTGACGTGGATTTGACCTAAATATTTTTAATCAACGCATTGCAACTCGCGATTTTTTCGCCCAACATTTAAAAGTTTGATCTTCAGCCAGAGAAAATTGGACACGTTGCGCAGTGATTTTTCACGTTCGCTGGGGCGCGATTTTCGACCCATTGGTTTGAAATACCGTGATTTTCAAAAAAAATAAATAAATAGTGAATAGCTCACAAGGGAAGGACCCAACTCGGGTGTGGCGATACGGGCCGTGACCTTTATCATCAGAAAGCTGACATTTTCTTGATTCCAAATCTGTTTTCAAAAAGTGCTTTGTCGCGGTAGTTTTCGAGAAAATTGGGTCAAAAGTTTCCAAAAATGACGTGGATTTTAATCTCATTTTCCTTCCTCACGTATTTAAGTTTCGAAGCGTTGAAGGAATGTCACAGGCCAGGCGCGACTGGTGGATAACGGGCGAACGCCGGGGCGGCACCTGCTAAATAAAGAACAGTCGCCACGCGAGTTTCCGCGCCGGCGACGGCCCGTTTGCTAGATATTGCGGATTGGGTATTGTCTTCGAAAAATAACTCTGATTTTTTCCAAGTTTAATCATTATGAGTAGAGTAAGAGAAAACAGTAGAAGTTCTATGGGATGTTATTGTGTAACTTCTTATTTCAGAATCGCGGGTTGTTTGTTTGCACTCCTCATCTTAATTGGTACTTCTGTTGGTGGCTACTTCTTCTGGAATAAGCGTTCCGCTAAGGAAAAGGAAAAAGAAGATGCTCAACATGCGGATAATTCAAAAGAACGGGAGCAGCAATTGAAAAAAATGGCCAACACTACGAATGATAATAGTGGAGTAAATCGAACACCAACAAAAGTAACCAAACCAGCCAAAAAAGCCCCTGGAAAGAAGGCCGCTCCTAATGCTACTTCTGGGAAAGGTAATAAAGAGTAAATTGTGTAAAAAATTTTTCTCAACTTTTTTCATTTTTAGATGGTCCGTGTTTCGTTTTGTAAAAAAAAAAGTGAATACCAAACAATGACTGTCTCACAGAAGAAGAATGAACCCGGATGCTCATTTCAAACTTGCGAATAATTTCTTCTTCATTCAGTGTACATTTCAATTATCTACCTCAAATTCAATGAAATATTACTGAAGAGCCCATTCCAAATGTTCATCTTACACTGCCTGAGCCAATATCTATTACGTCATCTGAAAAGATTGCATTTTAACAAGACATGGTTGAAATCACAAAAGAAGAGACACAAATGTTTTTTCAGACGCAGACAATAAGACATTCTTCTTGAACAAATCACAAAATAAGAAATATTGAATATCTCAAGAGACGCAGACATTCATACACACGGCATGCAGATTCTGAGATGATTAGAAAAAAGTTGCGATAAAAAGATTCCTAATTGAGAGAAAGAGGTGTAGAAGGATCTTAAAGGAGCATGAGTTTTGAAGAACCACTTTTTTTTTCTCCATTTGTGTTCTTTTTTCAATTTGGGGATACGGTAGTTTCTATTCATTCTAAAAGTATTGTAAAGAATGTTCATTGATCGTGCGGAATTTGTTGATATCTTCTTGTTTTCTGTCACTTCGAATTATAGCCTTACACCATTTCTTTCACTTTCTAATACTCTCCTTCTCTCAGAAATCTTCGACATCAAAAGCTTTTTAATTTTTTTTTGACTGCAGATAAGTAAAAAATCAAACCATGGGAAATGTAAGTTATTACTACAATGTCTCGTACCATGAAACCTGTAATAGAAGGGTCCCTGTACTGTCAAGTATGCTCTCATTTATCTTGGTTTCTAAAAGAGAGATCGAAAATGTGTCAACTGATAAAATGTTTGTGATGTTATGATAAACAACTTGTGACAACCTTTTAATGTCTTTCACAGGAACCGAGATGAATTGACACAAAGTTAAAAGCTAGTGCTGCCCTTCTATTAAAGATTTTACGGTATCTTAAAATTGATTTTTTGTAGCACCCAACCCGAGAAATGCTTGAAAATCAGTCAGAATTCAACAAGCAAAGAAAAGAAGGTTTTAAAATGTTTCGATGTTTATCTGCTCCTGAATTCCTGTTGAATGATAAAAGAATTGTCGGAGGAAAATGGAAAACAGAGAAAGAGTTGGAAATGTTCTTTAGAAGTATTGTAGATTTGGATTTGCTGGGTTTGATAGGTACGGTAGTCCAGGACTCCTAGTCCTATAGTAACCCCGAAACTGAACCCATTGAATTCCAGATCGTCTTCAATCAAAAAACGATTTGAATGCGTATACTGTATTATGTGCATACACCCAGAAAATGCTGGATAGTCAAACACGACTGAATTGTGTCACTGAAGTTATCAAAGAGGTATCAGATTAGTTTTTTAAAATGACTGTGAAACCTGTAAAAAAAGGACTATAACGATTTTGAGCCAATTTTTCTCGGTTCCTGTGAAAGATAAAAGTTGTCAACTAATTGTTCTCCATAATATCAGAAATCTTTTGTCAGTTGACAAAATTTTGATATCTTTCACAGGAACCGAGATAAAATGGCTCAATGTTGAGGACCCTTCTATTACAAGTTATAACCGTTTTTTCAGGCATTCGAAACTGCTGAAAAACATGATAAGCTGTGGTATGATTCCGAGGAGAAACCACCTCTTTATGGAGTTCCCTTCAGTGTCAAGTGTAATTTTGATGTGAGCTTTTGAAACTTTTGATCTAGAAAAACCCTGAATATTCAGATGAAGGGATATCACACAACGATTGGATTTCTGAAGAAGCTCACTGAAGCTAAAAAGGAAATCGATTGCCCGTTTGTGGCACATTTGAGGAATTTGGGAGGAGTATGTTTTCATAAGGTTCAAACTCTGCTACAATAGATTTCGTTTAAGATCCCATTTGTTCTGACTAATGTCCCTCAAGGATTCATCTCCTATATAAGCTCGAACCCTTTGTATGGCACCACTTTAAACCCATGGGCTTTGGATTGTACTCCTGGAGGATCTTCTGGAGGTGAAGCTGCTCTAGTGGCAGATGGTGGATCTCCATTTGGGACTGGATCCGATCTAGGAGGAAGTTTGAGAATTCCAGCGGCGTTTTGTGGATTGGTTACTTTGAAACCCACACAGAGTAATCCTATTGCTACGTAATTGTTTTTAATCAGAATGATTCAGGTCGTTTCCACGTGTCATACAACTATGGTGGTCTTCCAGGACGAGGTCGTCTTGGTCTAAGCTATGGGTTCTATACAAAATGCGTCAAGGAACAAGTATTTCTTATGGAACTTATAATTGGATCTCCAGAATACCGAAACCTAGAGCCCATGTCTTCTCCAGCCCCGCTCCATATGGATTCTAATAAAAAAGAAAAGTACCGAATCGGATGGTACGATGACGACGGATTCAACGCACCTGTTCCATCGTTAGTAAAGTTGTTCGATTTAAAAAATAGACTGATGAATTCAGAAACCGTCGTGCTGTCCTCGAAACTATTGAGAGTCTAGAAAAGGAAGGACACGAAGCTGTTAGATTCCGAATGGAAGATATTGACCCCAAATTTCAACCAAACTATGTAGCGGCTTTGCTGTTCAAAGTTATTTAATTTTTTTTTTAAGTTTGGACTTTCAAAACAAAAATATTCCTTTCCAGAATGTTCTTCCAGACGACGGAAAGTTTATACTAGATCTCTACAAAAATGAGCCGAATGATCCGTATATGGCGAGCTTCAGTAGACTTCTCAAATTGAATGACTGGGCCATAATCCGATTATTATTTACTCCAATAATTTCTTTGTTTTCAAAAAGAGCTGCTATAATAGCGAGAGCTCGAAATGGAAATCTCGCAGAGTTAAGGAAAACTCAAGAGGATACCGACACTTATCGGTTGAAGGTTGGATTGAGCTCAATTTCTGAAAATAAAATGAATTTCAATGTTTATATTTTGCAGTTTATCGAATATTGGAAAACTCTTGAAATTGATGCACTCATTTGCCCATCGTTTTGCAGTAAGCCTTAAATTATTATTTCAATCTATTCTCTTTTGTTTTCAGCTCCAGCGACCCCTCATCAATATCCTCCGGAATTGGCCAACTGTGTCCTATCCACTGGTCTCTACAACCTTCTTGATTTTCCTGCTGGAATCGTTCCTGCCGGACATGTAACAGCAGATGACGTGGCGAACTTGAATGATGAGAAAATATTCCCAATCAGTTAAATGAAGATATTGAAAGATGTTCATAGTTATATTTATTCAGATGACTACCTTCTACGAAAACAAAGAGATGCTTGCGCGAACTCGGAAGCAATGCCCAATGCCGTGCAAGTTGTGGGACTTCCGAATGAAGAGGAAACAGTGCTAGAAGTGATGAGACTAGTCGAAAAATTTCATGGAAAAATGAGCAAGCCGAAAAACTCATTACTACTGTAAATCAGGAATCTGTGTGATAAAATTTTTTTTGTTCTGTGAAACTACCTGATTCAACCGATGTTATATTGAACTTCTTCATATCTCATGATTAATATATTTAAAAACCAAATTTTGGATTTTTACTCAATTTTCAGATGATGATCTAGAAAACATGAAGGTTTTTTAACTGCCATTTTTTCAGAATAATCGATTCTGGAAAAAAAAACGCTAAAACGCTTTTTTCTGGCAAGGAGTTTCAGGCTTGAATCTGAACAAAAGACAGAATTTTGCCAATTTTCATGAACTTTTCAGTGCAAAACTCAAAATTTTGGGTAAAAATTTATTATCTGCTTTAATATTATGCTTCTTTCATGATTTTTTCATGCTTTTAAAATGATTTTTCGATGAGAGAAAAAATCTGAAAAATCCTTTTCAGACTGTGAATACACCTAATTTTACGACACACTGCGTACTTCCAGACGCCAACGCTTTGATGAACTGTTGTCTGCGTTTCCTTGTTTTGTACGCTCTCTCGCCTTTCGGTAAACATCTGATTCCATTTCACTCTAATATTTCACGTGACGTCAGACACTCCCAATTCACACACTTTTTAAATAGGTGATCAAAAAATAACAAAAAAATTAATCAGGATTTTACCAATTTTTCTATTCTAACCAATTGCAAACCATCTTTTTTGCTTTCTTTGTTTTTTAATATTCAAGAAATTGATTTAAAAGTTTAATAAGTCCTGAAAACTTGCAAATTAAAAAAAACAACAACAACAAATCAGCAGAAGAAGTATCGATTTTCGTCTGATTCTCCCTCCCCAAAGATTCCCACATTTTTATATCTCTCCATGCAGTTTTTTCGGCTTTCATTTTTCCCTCCACAACTTTCTTCGTCTTTCTTCCAGCACAGAACCTATTTCTTTCAAACAGTTCAATTTCAGGCCTTTTTCACAACACGAGTAAAAATGTCGACGAAGGGTAACGGATCAGCACAAGTTAATGTAAGTCGATTGATCTTTCATTGAAAAAAACTTTTAAAAAGCTTAATAGCTCTGTAAAAACATGTTCTGGCTCCTGATCGTTGTGCTCTGAATGAAAATTCATTATTCAAATCTTAAAAACAATAATTTGTTTTTCTAAATTGTTGTTTTCCGTTGTATATTTTCTAAATTTCCAAGTAATTAATGCTCTGAAAATTTAATCTAGTGCTTTTTTCATCTTAATCAGATTTTCAAAATATTCTGAAAAGGAACATTCCCCTCGATGGAGAAAAACCTCGACTTCTTCATTGATATTCTTGACCCGTTCTTTTTGCTCCTCTTTCTACAAATTTGTAATTTTTCGAGAATTTCAAAATATCTCTTTTTTACTATTTTAGCTTTCTAAAAAACAGACTAAAAACTAACAAAAAGACAAAAACGGATGTTTACGAAACGCCTTTTTTCTATCGTTTCCATTTAGTTTAAAACTTCGGATGTGTTCTTTTTCTGAAACTAGAAAATAATAATAGTATTATACATAGTTTTTATAACATTTTTGATTTTTTCAAAAGAAGTTTTTGTTTTTCAAATTTTTTGAGATCAATTTTTCAAAAAGATTTTTTTCAAATGCTATCAAAAATCTACAATTTTGCTTAATACCGTAAAAACTGTAATAAAACGCCACCTGTATTAGCAGACCCCCTCTAATACAACGCCACCCTGTTGAGGTGATTGGAGGTAGCAAAACAAAGTTTTAATGTTTGATTAACAAAGCAGCAGCGGAGTCTAATAATTTCGCACCATTTTTTTCATTTCAGTACGCTGTTAATCGAGTAAAAAACTAATTTTTGTCACCTCGCATCATCCAAAAACACCCCTCCGAAAAATAGAACGCCTTGGCGCTATATTACAGGTTTTGCGGTAATAACCATAAAACTGGTGCGAACCAACATTCTTGCTTGATTCAAAAAAAAAAGCAGAAAGAAAAATCAAAAGTACACACTTTTGTGTTCTTGCTACTTCTCTGGCCCAAAAAATCAGAGCTGTGGAAGACAAACGCCGGTGGCCGTGCCCGAAGATCCCACAACGAGAATTACCGTAGCCTACAAATTTTTATATTTTCCGGATTATCTCGATTTTCGTGTGCTTTCGGTCTAGTTTTTCGGCAAAAGTTTAAATTTTCCGATATGTTTGTGAAAAAATATCAGAAAAATCGAAAAAACGCAGAGAAAACCGAGAAAAATGTTTAAAGGTTACTGTAGTTGTAGGACCTTCGGCCACGGCTACTGCCGTTTCTCGTCCATAGCTCCGATTTTATTGTACAAGAATAATAGGAAAACAATAAACCTTTTTAAAGATCACATGTATCTAAGTAAGTGTGGGTCTTACAATTTTCCATGTCTCTAGAAGTATGAATCACTGTGTTGATTCGATAAACATTAACCGATTTTGTTCAATTTCGAGTCTCCACTCACTTTCTTTTTAGTTCTCATTTAAAAATGACGTATTTTTCACTCCAGAGTTGGCATCAGATTGTTTCAATGTTTGATCTTTTTTCCATCTGTCCCTTTAACTGAAATTGAATTGGCTGCCCCTTCTGTCCGTGCAATTCTACCCGAGACGACAAAATCTAATGTTCTCTTCCTTTTTTTCTCCTCCAGCCGTTTCCTTCTATATTTTTTGACCAATTTGTTTCAGTTTGCTTTTTTCACTACAACTACGACCACTCTTGAAATGAAAATGACCTCGTGATGATTCTCTGCGTCTCTCCGATCCTAGTACTATCTCCGTTATGGAAGTTGAACCCATTTTCCGTGAACCCGTCGTTTTACGGTAACTGGTTTCAGGTCGCATCATCCCTTTTTTGTGTCTTCTATTTTTTGGACAAATTTTTCTAATTTGATTTCAAAGTGGACGAAATTGACTCACAGCAATGAGTGAAGTCTGAAACTATTTTTCTTGGACCTAAGACTTCTGCCATTGTTTCCTCTACCTCTTCCCGCATATGCCTATCAACATTTTTCCTATTTTCGGATGACGAGAGCTTTGATTGACACCCTCTTCCTCCTTATTTTCTTGAATCTTTCACCGCTCCGAGACGACGGCCTTCTGCATCGGGGGCTCCTTTATTCTCACGCGTTTTTCTATGTAGGCATGTTTCTCGGCCCCCAATTTGTGTCGCGGCCCGCCTCCCGAGAGGGTCGCTCCTTTCTTCATTTTTTCTGTGCCCCCATTCTTCCATCTGGGTGCTCTATGAATGTTTCTTTGGGACACTGAAAGACTTTGATCAGTTTGTTTGAGTTTGGGTTTCGGGCAAACCGCGGGCGCCCAATGGATCGGGAAGGAACAGGATGAGAGAGTATGTCGGAATGAGAGACGGAGAAACTAGGTCAAACAGTATCTGAAAAATGGAACAAAAAAACGACTGTCGAAATACAAGTTGTATCATTTCTGATCGTTCGAACTGGGTAGAGAAGTCCCAGTTTTAAACAATTGGGTAGTTTGAAACCTTATCGCCGACTTGACCAAAGTAGCTACCGTATTTTCTCTAATAGAAACCCTGTCAATTTTGAGCTCAATTATCTCGACTCCTGTGAGCGATATCAAAAATTTGTCAAACGATAAATTATTTATCATAATGCCTCCTTCAGAAATCAGTTCAGAAATCTTTGATATCTTTCACAGTAATCGTGATAACTGAACTCAAAGTTGATAGTTCAGATGAGCTTCTATCAGAGGGAATACTGTAGTTATAATTAGCTTAAAGAAGCTGGAATTCAGTTTTTATGAAATGGGACATCCTGTAGAAACCTTCTATACTAGACTTGCTTTTCAACATATCCCATATGAGACCACCAATTTCTGTTTACCCAAAAAGCCAGCACCCAATCGGGGGCTCACACTCTCTAATGATCTTTTGGTATAACGTGTCCATTTCCCCTGGCAACTCAATCTCATAATTATTTCTTCTCCTAACCTTCTTTTATCTTCTTTCCTCTTTCTGTCAAACTATGTGATTTTCGGACTTTTCAATCTCGTCTCTATCAATAGAAACCACCTTCGCCCCCCTCTCCTGGTGCTCTTTTCCTGCTCCCTTGTCCCATTGCTCCTATCCCATGGACACGGGAGTGAGAGAGTGTGTTTGTCACTCTCTTTTTCTCTTTTTTGCTCTATTCAATGTGTCATCTGCCATGTCACAACTATAAGAAAGAAGAAAAAAGAAGAAGAAGTAGGAAGAAGAACAAAAAAAGAAGAGAAAGGACATCATTTGAATGTTGGAGATTCTCATTCTCAACTTTTTTGTTCCATTCTCTTTTGAGCCGACTTTTCGAGCATCTCTTCTTGCTCAGTTTTACTATTTTTTCGAACCAAAAATGTTGAAAATTTAGTTTTTTTTTTGATCTGAAAATCTGAAAAGAAAACAGGTGGAATTCTATAAGACTTAATATTGAAATCCAATTTAATATTTTGAAATCGAAGAGTTGAAATTCTATCCGATTCCATGTGCTCTCCATTCTTCCTCTTTTTTAAACTCTGCGTCTCTCTCTCTCCTTTCTAGAATAAGCCGAAATACCATGAAACACTTCCGAACAGTTCGTTTTTCCCCTTAAATTCCCTCCTCCGTCTTCCAACCCAAACGTTCAGTCTGTTTGCCCAAAATTGGAGACACAAACCGACATTTACACAGGCACACTGTCTGTCTGTGTGCTCTCGACGGAAAAAGAGAGAAAGAAGGAACGGCGAAAAGAGAAAAAAAACATAGAAAATAGTATTTCATACAGTCTCATCATATTCTCCAAAAGCCGACTTTTGTAGGAAGGAGCTGGAAAATCAGAAGTCTCGGCACTAAGAGCCTCCCTGATTCTTAATTCCCATCATTATTAATTTATCCATCAATTGTTTCTGTGTTTCTCCTCCCTCTATATTTTTTTTTCTGCTCTACTCCCTTTCTTCTTCTGCTTCTTCTAGTCCTTCTCCTGCCATTTTTTTCCTTCAACGGGTGCACATTTTCTGTCTCCTTTCTGTTTTTTTTACGTCCTCCCCACCCCATCTCTTCATTGCCCTTCTACATCCAGTATTCTCCCTCGATTTCCGTGTTATCTGATGCTTTTCTCTCTATTTATTTTTTGCCTTACAAATTTCGAGAAATTTGAAAATCTTCCACGAAGGTTGAGACCTTTTTTGTTGTCCTCCCCGAACTTTTCCATTACCGGAAAGTACTTGACGGATTGAAAATCTCGAGTACCTAAATCAAGAACATCATGACATGATGGAATTCACTTTTTTCCCATTTGTATTTCGGTTTTCGAACTTTGAATGACACGAAATTTCAAATCAGATCTCGCTATCCCGATATAGAGAGACTTTATCCGATCAGATTACCGATTTTCACGCGACAAAAAAGTGACCAGAGGTCGATGAAACTTGTAGTTCGGAAAGTTTCTCTGTGAAACGGATTACTGTAGGGTAATTGAAGTATGTTGTTATCTCTACTCGAGTCTTTATTTAATAATCAGTTGTATCCCTATATAATTTTCTCGTTTCTAATCTTTTTTTGCCTAACCATGTTTATCTCCTCTTCTCTTTAACACTTTCTTCATGTCGTCGTCACGGTGACAGCTTCCTTCTCTTTTTTTCTCACTTTTTCAGTTATTCTGGAGAAACCTTTTTGACACCAAAGAGCTCATACCAACTCACAAGGACATACAGGTGTTTTTTATGGGGAAAACCAGTGACGTGTCGAAAATAGTATTTGGTGTTATGCTATCAGATATTATTCCCTTTTTTCTAATTAGCACAAAAATATGAATAGTGAGGGACTGATGACGTAGAAGAAGTGATATGTGTCTATAGAAGCGGAAAATAGAAAACATAACTATGATTTAGTTTTGGTGGGGTTTTAGAGGAAATAGTTTTGCTTCCTCTTTTCGGATGAATTTTGCTGAATCCACTGATCTTCTTTTTTCGGCACTATCCCAAAAGTGCTCGTATTCCTGCTTCCTGAAGATTAAATTTCGCCCATTTCTCTTTTGATGCTCAAAAAACGCTTATCTTCCAAACTCTTACTTTAGGCTTTTGAAGCATACATTTTTGAAACAGCTAATTCCTCCAGAATTATATCACCTGCATATCAGTAACAAGCGTATTTATATACTTCTTCCTCAAATGATTTCTGCTCTAAAAATGCATCTGTTTTCTAGAAAATTTCGATTTTATGAATGCGTAGGATGTAATTTTTTTTCCAGAAAACTTCTCCACAGGCTTAAAAATCCCAATTTTCGATCCTGAAATTTTTGGCTTCAAAAATTTCAGGTTTCGAACTTGAAATAGTCAATTTTGACTACAAAAATCTGAATTTCCTATTCTAAATTTGTCAGGTTTAGCTCTAAAAATCCAAAATTTCGATCTTAAACTTGTCAATTTCGTTTTAAACAATCCCAAAATTCCTGCCTAAACTTGTCAAATTTGACTCCAAAAATCCCAAATTTTGACCTTGATATTGTGAATTTTATGTCTGAAAATCTAGAATTCCGACCAGAGAAATCCCTAATTATAGCCCTAAAAATATAAAATTCACCTCAAACATCCCAATTGTCGAGCTTAAAAAGTCAATTTCGGATTCAAAAATCTGGAATTTTGATGCTAAAATACTTTCTAAGTGCGAGGTGACGTTTGAATGTCATGAAATTGCACTACTAAATACTTGGGTCGTCTCTAAATGGAAAGCGAAACTTTTCTGATGCGCATTGGAACAGAAAATATAAAACACAGTAGTTGTGTTTGGTGTTGTGTCCCTCAATTTCGTCGAACAGCCATGATGAAACTGACGTCACTTTTTTCTTTCGCTACACTTTTTTCATTTTATTATAGTTCGCCAACTTTTCCATATTTCCGGAGGGGGGTGATTTGAAAAATTATAGTAATCAAATTTGTGTTGTCTGCCCAACCAAAGAACATTCCAGTTTCCAAAATAGAACCTTCTTGAGTCATATTTACATATGAGTTGTACTAGGAATTCAGCCGAATTCTATGGTATGGCGTGTACATATTTATCTTCAATGTTATCGTTTTTTCTTTTCTCCGTAATATTCGTGTGAAAATACATTTTTTCGAGAAGTTGAACTCATTTTTTGCTCTTAATTTCTTCCAATTCGCAAGAAAAATCGTAAGAATATATAGAAACAAGATGAACGTTATTGGTTTCAATTTAATTTTTTGTAATATAATTGGAATCAGCACACTGACACCTAAAGAAAAACATGTATCGCTGGGGATTTTACTTTCAGAATACCCATTCCCTCATGAGAAAAAGAGAAAAAATTAGAAAAAAAATTTATTTAGGTTTGAAAAAGATCCGATTGTACGATTACTCCTTGCTACACCATTTTTGGAATTTTCCTCGACTTCTTTTTTTTTCATCGTTCTTAAACTGTGCTGATGAAATATTTTCAGATTATCCATATCAGATATGATAGAGCTCCACGAGTACTACAAAACGGTATTATTTGGAATACTGTATCATATATATGAACAAAGTTACAGAGCAATAGGAACAAAAAAACAGGCCCGGCAAGGCCTGCGAGAAAAGCCACTTTATGATCTGTAACTTTGTTCATAGATGTGGTACAGTATTCCAAATAATACCGTTTTGTAGTACTCGTGGAGCTCTATCATATCTGATTTAGTTGGTTCGAAAATATTGATTTTGAAAGAAATTATGGCAGGACCCGCGAAGGCCCGGATTACAAGGATGAGATTATCCGAAAAAAAATTCTCGATTTTTGAATCCTACCAGGAAAGTTCTGGCGATTTTTAACTTTTGAATCGTCTACTCGGAAACGATAAAAATAAGATTTTCACTGCCTCTGATGCTTTATAATCATTCTTGATGTAAAATTTGAATCTTGCTAGCTACGAACAATAGAAATTACCAATCAATTTGTTCATCCTCGGCAATTCCAAGTCTCGGATATCTTCCTTATATATAAAACGCTACACGCGTCTGTTGGTCCCCCTGCCAGTCTGTGGACTGTTGAAAAGCTTGAAAAATACATATAGCTTTACGCGACCCTTCAAGAAAAAGTGAGACTCGTAGCGACGAACCAGTAAAACTAGATCAGAACGCGCCGAAGGCGCACCAGCTTGCTGGTTTTAAATATTTCCTTCTCAATTCAGTTTCCCAAAAAAAAAACGTTTTCTTTCCCACAAGTCAGAATCCTGTCTCCTACGGCCTCATACCAAATTGTGTCAGATCTGGTCAATGAGCACGTCATTCTGCTCCAAAAAAAGCGTGTTTCAAAAAATGAAACTCAACTTGCTCTCGATTTGTCCCTCCTTCAACCTCCTACCCACACCCGTTTCCCCACTCCAATTTCCCCGTTTTTCACCTGCTCAAACGGGGCGCATAGGCGCAGAATTTGTCTTTCTTCTTTCCTTCTCCTTTTCAGTTTTTTTCTTCTTTTCATCACTTCAATTTCCACACTTCATCAGCCATCTCCTCTGCCACTCACCTGGCGACAGTAGAGGGTTTTTGTTCTTTTTTTACCTGTTTTCAGTATTTCCAGTATTTTTCCACGAGTTTCCTTGTCTAGTAAAATACAAATATTCGTTCCCCAAATGAGTGTCTCATGTGTGGTGATGTTTTGACGCTGATGGCTGCTGCTCTAAAATCTGATAATCAGCTGACCATTCACTCAGGAGACGGGGAAAAATATTAGAAAAATATGAGGAAAAAGAGAGATTAGAGATTAACTTCTTGTGATAATTCTCTCTCTCTCTCTCTCTCTCTCTCTCTCTCTCTCTCTCTCTCTCTCTCTCTCTTCACTGATAAGCCACCATCTGTCAGCTAAGCTGCTTAATCCCCATATTTGTGAATTGGGGACGGTGATTGAAAGGATTCGATGACAAGCAGGCAAAAACATCTAATGAGAGAGAAGAAAAAAGGATTCGTGGAGTGGGAGGAAGTTTCTCAAAAATCTAATTCAACTGAAAATAAAAGAGACGAATCCATACGTTTTTCGAAACTTCTGGATCTTGGATTTTCGAATACTACATTTTCTCAAACCGCTCTTTAAAGTATGTCCTGAAAATCCACAGGTGATTCACGAATTCTTCTTCCACTTTCACAAATCAAAAAACAAACTCTTTTCCTCTTTCATTTTCTCCATGAATTTTTGATTTTTCTAGAAGTTCGATGTTTTATTGTCTAGGAATAGATCATAAAAAGAAAATAAGGAATGTGTCTCATTTGCAACTACTACTAGAAAAAACATGATGACTGATTAGTAACACTCTGGTAGTAAACAGAGACAAGATATTGCCTCATTCCTTCTTCTTCTTCTTTTTTCGTTGTATTATCAGTTTTCACACGTTTCCCATTGATATCATTGGATTGTAGTGGGAAATCAGAAAGCTCGAAACGGCGATGTATGCTGATGATGATGTGTGTCAGCAGCTATTAACTTTCTCTTCAACTGAATTTTTGGGTTTTGACTCTTTTTTTCTCCCGCGCGTGATCTCTTCCTCTCCATTTAGTCTTTACTCTCTTTTCTAGCTCATACCTCAACCGCATTTGCCCCCGTTTCATTGCCATTTCTCACTTCTCACGCACTCGATTTAAATTTTTTTTTGCTCCCCCTATTCACCCAGAATAAGGAGGCAAGGTGGGAAACGAGAGGAGAGGAATTTAATTAATCCTATCATTGAGCAGCAAAGGGAAGAGGAGGAAACAATGGATGGGGGAAACACTGAAAAAGAGAAAATGACCCGAAAAGTGAATTCAGATGAAGTGGTGTGATACAGAAGCCATACATTCTCGCAACACTTTTTTTTGTTCAGGGTTCTATAATTTTTCCAGTAATTGCTTTTTCCCTCTTCTGCCTTTTCTAAATATTATTATACTGATACAAAAAAGTTGAAGCTGGCCGAAGGTCCCACAACGACAACTACAGCAACCCAATTTTCATTTAAACTTCCGCAGTTATTAGGTTGGCGGGAAAGTCTTTGTCACTCTGTTTGTTTAATCACTGTTCTCGTATATGGAGGCTGTGTATGATATCGACTTTAGTGAATAACAAGGTGATAAGAACCTTCCATATAAACAAGTCCCCATCTCCTTCCCTGCTCCTCATCTGTAATTGAAACGATATGTTTGTTCCCACTGCTATTCACATCAGACATGTTTTGATTTACCTCTTCCTATCTCACACCACGATGAAGGATTCGGAAACTTTCTTGAAGAATGTGTACAACACACATGCCCCTCACTACAATACTATTCGCAATTGGTTCCATCGTTTCGAAAAAGATGACTTCTCGCTCGATGAAAAGGATCGCTCTGGGAGACCGCGTGAGTTGGATTTGGACAAGCTGAAGCACGCATTGCAATCGGATCCATTTCAATCTAGCCGTGAACTAGCTGTCACATTCGGAGTTCACCATAGCACAGTCCTTGAAGGTTTGAAGTCTCTTGGAATGAGAAAACTTTTTGGTCGATTCATACGTCATCACCTGACTCAAGCCAACCTTGACCGCCGAGTCGACGATTCGATTACTCTTCTCACTCTCCACGCGGGCGATCGATGGCTGGACCGGCTAATAACCGGAGATGAGAAGTGGGTCTTCTACGATAATCACCACAGGAAATCCCAGTGGGTTGGAGAAGGAGAGAGCCCACAGGATGTCCCCAAACCCGACCTTCATCCGAAAAAAGTTATGCTCTCTGTGTGGTGGGGAGTGGACGGCCCCATCTACTGGGAACTTCTGCCCGAGGGCAAAACAATAACTGGAGACCTCTACACTACTCAACTACGAAACCTCAAGAAAGCAGTCGTCTGTGGGGCCGTGAAAGACAAGAGATGTGTGCTATCAACATGAGAACGCTCGCCCACATGTTTCGAAACAAGTGAAGCAGGAGTTGATGGCATATGGATGGAATGTTCTCCCTCACCCCCCGTATTGTCTTGATCTTGCTCCTTCCGACTATTGGTTATTTGGCGATATGACACGTGCCTTCGAAGGAAGAAGCTTCAATTCCCGTGGAGCGGTCGAAGCGGCACTCAAACAATACTTTGCCTCACGCCCGGCTGGATTCTACCGCAATGGAATCCATAAATTGAGGGAACGTTGGAGACATGTTGTTGATAATGATGGACAATATAATTAATTATTCGGTTATTTTTTCTTTGAGAAATAAACTATTGAAAAAGTGACAAAGACTTTCCCGCCAACCTAATATTATCTCGATTTTCACTGTTTTCTGTCGGAAAGCAATAATTTTGAATAGTGAAAAAAATTGCCTGAAAACGCACGAAAATCGAGAAACATTTTTGGGTTACTGTAGTTGTCGTTTTGAGACCTTCAGCTACGGCCACCGGCGTTTCTCCTCCACAACTCCAGTTTTTTTTGTACCAAAATTATCTCTTATTCGTTAATTCCCAGTATGACCCAATTTGCACAATGTGAAAGGTTTCGGGTTTCCTAATATTGAGGGACTCTGCAAATAGGCAAATAGTAGTTTTTCCCATTTTTCTCTGCTACTGAAAAAAGTCCTGAAAAAAGTGTGTCATTAATCCGGAAATCGGTGACTCGAAAGTACACCAACACACACACAGACACACCAATACACAATTTCCGATCCCTTGGACATTTAATACTTTTTATCCAGAGAGAAGAGGTCATAGCTCATACACAAAGTTTCTTATTCTCCTTGTTGTTCTTCTCCCCCACTCACCCATATATTCATGCATTTTTGATAGAATCTACATCGGATTCTTCTATTCATCGAAAATGTTCATACAAAATTCTGCACTTTTCTAACCGCGTGCTTTATCAATGAGAATGCTTCAAAAAATCCGAATTTTGATTAGGTGTTAAGTTAGAATTCCTGAAAAATTCCAGGAAAACCTTCTACTTTCCAAATGTTACAATCAGGCCTCGGGATGTCGTCATGAGTCATTTTTAATCCTGATCCGTTGATCGAGTATTAAATTCTCGGCCTTCATTCAATCAGAGGAATCCATATATCCGGTGGCAAATCATTGAGCACCCCACGAGGAGAGAGCTCTTGTGTTTTTCTCGCATTTTGGGTACAGTGCTCAAAAATTCAGATTATATTATTTTATTCTCTTCGGATTGTGCCAATCCGATTGTCTCCAGATAATTCGACACTACTATTTTCTGAATCTAAAAATTTCGAAAGTTCTAGCTTCCCAGGGAAACTACATTTTTCCCATTTTGAAAATGTATTCCTATTTTCCATGTAAATATTCTCAAATCTCTCTGAATCTATCCACTCCTCATCCTTCCATCTCATCGTCACCGCTTTCTTCTCTTTAGCAGAGAAATCTTTTACTTCTTCCATCTCATTTTGATCATCACAGATTCGCTGCTCGGGAGAATCTCAACTGCTTAGCACGTGGATCTTCTCTTCTAACCCTCTTTTTCACTCTCATCACATTATCCATGGAATTATATATATTTTTCTTCACTCTTTCTCTCTCTCTCTCTCTCAAAAGTTTTTTTCCTACTTCCATCATCATTTATTTTATGTCCATTTTCTTATACCACCACTCTCCACAGATAGGAGGATGAGTTTCTCGTCTCTTGCGTGCTTAACTCATTTTCCATTTTTCTTGATGTTTTTCTAATTAATTATTCACACCAAATTCAGAATGAGCTTTTTTTTCTGGATTCTTTTCTTGATCATTCAAAAATCGTATTCCACGATTTTTGTACTTATGTTCTCGGTCTGCTCTGATTGGTTTATTCACATAGATTCTTTCTTTTCGCCATTTAAGTAGCAGCCAGACTTCATTCAGTTTAATTTTTCAGTTGAAAAATATTTTGAAATACTGGAAAACCTGTAATAGAAGGGCTTTGACACTGTCAAGTTTCCAAGTATCTCAATTATCTCCATTCCTATGCAAGTTATCAAAACGGTATCAATTGACAAACCATTTCTGAAACTATGTTGAGCATTTTATCAGTTAACAACTTGTTGATATCTTTTACAGGAACCGAGATGATTTGACTTAAATTGAAATGTTAAGGGACCCTTCTATTACAGGTTGTTCCGGTACACTTAGTTAGATGATGTTTAGTAGGTCTTGAACTAGAAAGAAAAACTAACTTTTTCCACTAATTCTATCACTTTGAAACCACTAATTTCCTGCTAACTGGCCTAGAATCCCTAATAAGCGCGATGGGGCGCTCTAACCGTTACCCCCCGCCGGACAGAGGAGGGAATTCAAATTTGAATTCTTTGCCTAGGATCTTCCTCTTCCCGTGTGATTCTCTGAATTCGATCTACTACTGATTTTCTCTATTACTGAAAAAATGCGTTTCTGGTTAAAAGTGAGTTCAAAACTGATATCTAACATGTAATAACTAAAAAATAATTTTATGGACCAATATAGATTTTCCTATGATAGTTTCCTATTCATCTAAATCACTTTATCGAATCTCTTTCTTTTCGTTCATTTTCGTCTCATTCGCTATAAACTTCCATTTAAAAAAGGTTCAATTTTTGGGTAGTCATCATCATCCGTATCACCAATCAGTTGAATCAGAAAACAGAGACCATCGTTTGATAGTTACTCTCTTTTTCATTTGACTGGTGTGCCGACTATGGCAATGATGACGAGCACATCAACTTGTTCGCCAGTGGCCGGCTCTCCGTTGATGATGCTCTTGTTTAAGGTACCCAACAGCACAACGGTAATCATATCAACTTTTTTGTAGAGATACTGTAGATACTGTAGATATAAAATAGAAAACATTTAGATCGTCATCATGAACTAATTCTCTCATTTTTTCAGGCAATGCAAGAAGGAGCAGACAGTGAAGATGAAGCACGGAGACGGAGAGAACAACTAAATCGGAGGCCCTCATACCGGTCAGTCCAATTTCTTCGGTTACAGAGCCTCTATGCAACCATCACCTATTATGGGAAACATCAATTTCCGAAAGGAAATTATAGTTTTAGTTTTTAAATTGGTTTGAAATGTTTTTCTCAAAGAAATTTTCAAGATGATGACATTGTTTCCCTATGACTAAAGAATCGAGAATCGTGTATATCCGAAAGACATTTTTGGGGTTTTGGCGGAAAAGATAATCACAGTGTTTGCATGTGAAAATTGGAATGTGTCAAAAGAAGAAAAAGGAGAGTACGACTGGCACCGCCGTTAAGAACATTGGCAATAATTATACATATTCAGAAATATGTGCACTATGATCACATTGGAAAGATAACCTGTTATAAGAAATCAAGGTACCGTAATACCCCTAACTTTGAGTCAATATTTCTCGGTTCCTGCCGAAGATACAAAAAAGTAGTCAACTGATAAAATGTTCATCCTAATATCAGAAGTCGTTTGCCAGTTGACAAATTTTTTATCTCAGATAGGAATTGAGATAGTTAAGCTCAAACTTGACAATGTAGATGCCCTTTTGTTACAGGTTCTACAGTAAAACAGTTCCAACTTTAAAAGTTTGATAATTCCAAAAAGAAACCTGAAAAAAATTTAATGCTGGAAAATTCGACTGAAAAGGATGGGCCGAGGTCTCAAAAAGGACCATTAAGGGCTGTTCCAGAAAGCTATCCATCCGTCCATTATTTCAGCATGACATCACTGAAAAGTTTTCATCGTTTACTCTCATTTTTAATTATTTTTTTCTGCTCCAAGTGTATGTGTGTATGTGATTTCTTTTTCTTCTATTCCTCTACACTCTGAAAGCTCCAATGTCTCGGCAAAGTCTCTGAGAAATTGAAAAAAAAACACGAACGCAAAAAGAATCATTGAATGTTACATTCGAACAATTCCTTTTCTCTGTTTCCATTTGTTTCTTCCTCCATTCGTTTTCCCATGTGAAGCCACCAGCAACCACGTCACTCTTTTTCAGTACGGTTTGCTTGTGTCGTTCCCTCTCTCTCTCCACAAGATGTTTTGAAACCTGAAAATCTTTCCTCCTTCTCTGGAAATCTGGATTAGTAGGCATCTATAGCCTTTTCTTCAATACTAATCACTTGAAATCACGTGCCTAGATTTTATTCATCGGCTCAAAGGTCGAGTTTTTAGTGATGTGATCTTAAGTTGCTCCACCCTCACTCTAATTATTAGGTTTGGTAGCATTTAAGGAAAATGTTTCGAAAGTTTGTGTGTACATTTCTAGGACTTTCACTAAATTGGACTTCGTGTATGTTGTTTGAATTTATCTTTTGGCCCAACAGTCTTGTGTGAGGTACTGTAGCTCAAATTGAGTTTTCACCTTTTCAACACTCCACACGATAAAGGTTTCCCTGTTGAAATTTCTGCTCATTTTTGAGCACAACCTTTTGTTGACCATATCCCTCTGAACCTGATTTGGCCAATAACGAACTACAACATCTCACTTTCAGTTTGGAAAGGTCGAAGGTTTGCAGATGGAGTAGCAGCACAGCAAAAATAAGTTTGCTCTCTGTCTCTGTTTCCCCTATCGTCCCTCCCTGAAACCACGAATAATTCATCTGTGCAACAACCCATCCCCACCCTCCCTCTCTATCCATTTGTCCATGTCTTCGCGGAAATGAAAAGAGAAGAAGAAGGCGGTGAAAAAAGAGACTGACGAATTCTCTCTTCTACTTCCCAGTTCCTTTTTTCATCTCCTGGCTCTTATGTTCCATTTGAGAAATATGTCATATGGGGTGATCATCAAACGACGATCATTTTTGATTACTCGGAAAAAACTGGCGTCATCTTTTTTTTCCGATTTTCAAATCCGTTGAGATTTTGGCGGCTCACCCAGATGTCGGACTGTTGAAAAATATGTAAGTGCAAGCTCAGTATTTCATCTGTCGGATCTGTCATTTTTGATCTTCTGAGAAAAAAAACATCTAGGAAGACCTTGACATAACAATTATGAAGCCCTTTTTTGATTCAAGAGAGATTCGGAGTTCCAGTCGGTGCCACCCACAACAACATAGTCTTTAGTCCTTTTTCAGAAGATGTTCAACTCACCGATAGGAGGTCTTAATAAGAAAGAATAAGAGAAGCCCTACTTCCTTCCCCTTGTTGTTTTTCAGCATTGAACTTTTGTCATATTCACTATAACTAACTTCATTTTTTTTCTTAATCTTTTTGCTAGTTTCCCATTTCCTTTCTCTGAATAATCACACTTTTTTTCATCTGATCGTGAAAAAAAAATTATTCAAGCGGAAAGTGTCTAGAATATGACATGAAAAAAAAAGAGAATTTGGTGTTCATTAGCATGTGAGATGATAAGGTTTTGATAGACTAAGATGGCCAGGTAGCTCGTTAGTAACATCGAACCCTTTTGAGAATCATGAATCCATTACTAACGGATCGAACTTAAAGCTACCGTAGTCCAGAAATTCACAACTTTTTGCTCTCGGAATACACCCTCCTTTAAAATGAAAGTGTTTACTCGGTTCTTTTGCTGAATCTCTTGACCGCACACGGCCATGCAGCACCAAAAGTGATATTTGAAACCCTTTCTCGGGGGTGGAGATGGTGCTAACCACTACTACAGCCGTTTTTTCTTCAGTTCCCCACAATGTGACTTGTGTAGTTTCAGTGTCCTAGATTCCTAAACTCTAAATTCAGATTCAGAAGGATTTATGGATTTACTAGCTAACAGGAAATGAAATAATTAAAAAGTGAGCCTGAAAACCAATTTCAACACAAAAATAAGAACGGATTTCCTGTGATTTTGTTGGTTATCAATTTCATGCAACTTGAGGCCTTTTTTATTATCAACACTATAAAAAAATCTCTTTTCAATATGAACCCATAAATCTTTCGATGAAAAAGTTTTCGAGAAGTTTTCAGCCATAAATTCCTTCTTCTTTAGTTTTCGGCTTTCCCTTTTCGATGCCGGAGCAGCTCGATACTTAATGGGTCTGTGCTCTTTTATGGGGCAATTTTCTGAATACGCAAAGTTGCTAGGAGGCGTGTCGTAGGCACACTGACTTCCCGAAGATATTCATTTTTGGCTCTCAAACAACCACCTCGCATCCTTGTATCCACCTTATTAGGAAGTGTTTTTAACCATCCTCCATGAAAAAGGACAACAAGTTGTTGATTATGGAGACGGAGAGAGTAGAGATGCTTTCTCTCTCTCTCTCTCTCTCTCTCTCTCTCTCTCTCTCTCTCTCACACATGGTGAAAGTCTCACCGAATTACTCGAGTAGAGGTAGAAATATAAGGGGGCGGAGTCTTGAGAGCCACCCCCACCTCTTCTCGCGCTCAACCCTCTACCACACCCAACAGAAGGAAGAAATCTGATATCAGAGCCTTTTTTCCATTTCTCGTTTTTTCGGTTAATTTTTTTCATCCACCCTCTTCTCTCCCTTCATCCGCCTTTTTCAGAATCAGTAGGACATAATGCCACACTGTAGACATTTCTCATTTTTCTTTGGCGGCGACGGCGTCCGCCTGCTTTCTCGTTTTTTTTCCTTTTTTTTCCCTTGATTTAATTAGAAATGAGCACCCCCAACCTCCACCATCAGAACATTGGTTTTAGGTCGTCTCAGTTGAATAGGGAGAAGAAGGAATTTCTTTTGCATTTCACTCTTTTCTTTTGGAGTGTCTTCTGTAATGGGTTAGATCGGAGCTACACAGTGAGAGAATCATGGCACTTTTTGGCTAATGAGCTCTGGTGATTTTTCTATAAATTACTCACCAGTATAAGTCACCTTAATTTTACTATTTTCCTCCCCCGAGAGATCCTAAACTCTTGTGATATTTAACACCGTAAGGTTCTCACCCTCACTCTCCATGTAAATATCAATTTTGTGCTCTCTCTTTTTGAATTCCCACCAAACCCTGTCATTATTTTTTTTTTCCCCACCACCCTCGCCTGATAATTTAGGCTCCACCCTCACAGCACACGTGGTCTTTCTTTTTCTCCTGGTTGCTCACCACAACCAGATCAACACATGGGAAAATTGGATTGTTGTTTTTGACGATGATAGTCCAAACAGAAAAGAAAGCTATTTGAATTTGTATGTACCCGGAATGAAAATGAATCATGATGAGAACAAAATGATACAAAAAACTGGTGGTTTAAAAGCAAATTCAATTAGTCTTCTCTCGTTAGTGTCATGACTGAGATTTTTTTGTTTCTCTTGCTCATTAATCAGACAGACTTGCTCACTTCGCATCGATGACCATCACAAAATGACTTTCTTTTATTATCTTCTTGAACTCTTTTCGTTTTGTCACACATCGTTCAGACTTCTGATTCAGAGACGTCTTCCTCCACTCCATCCACTCCGACGGGGACGGTCCGCTTGTCAGCATTCCGTCCACTATCGATGACAACAATTAATCCAGCCTCGTACTCTCATCAACCAACCTATCCACTTTTCGGTACATCAACACCAGTTGCGAATCCGAGCGTCACTGATGTTGCGACGGCTCTTTTCAGAATGACCACTCCACTTGGGGGAGATGGGAATCCGTTGACTTCGCGAGATCGTTGGCAGATGTGCATTTATGCAGTTATCAACAAAAGACCGTGGTTCCCAGGGGAATCTACTGATTCTTCTGACCCAGAAAGGTATTTACTACAATCTAGGCTTATGCCCCTTTTCGGGTTGAACTGCTTTTTGTGACTTCACATCTGTCAGAAACTAGCTACCATTTCCGTCCTTCTAATCCTGATCGTTGACCCCCATCGAGTTAGAATTGCTCTTGGTGAAAAACAATGACCCGCTTCCCATCGGATCCTTTCCGATTTTTGGAGCTCTCTCTCGTCTAAAAGATCTGCCAGATTGACTCTATTTGATTCCGGATGCCTCCCTCCTTCCGGAACACCTTCATCTTGTTGTCCTTTTCGGGGGTAAAGACATAAGAGATGGGAGTCAAAATGGATTGAGATAGAGAAAGAGAGACGAAAGGCTCCGGAAAAACATGTCGTCAATCATTGAAGAAGAAGCAGAAGGACGAAGGGAGTCGAGACGATAAACGTCATTACCTAAGTAGAAAAAATGAGGACATTCGAATTCTGTCGAATCGGGGTCGAGAGCATTTTTGACATAAATAAAAAATTAGAAATACACTATGATGTAAGATCCGGGAATGAAGGATTTTAGAAAAGTATGTATCTTGTGGTACCATCATTAGATGATGTAACCCATCCAACAACATGATGGAATACTAGTTTTCGAAATTGAGCTATTACCGATTAGAGCATCTGAATAACTTACTTACGCAAGTCAAATACATTTCTGTTTTTAACTTATGATTTCATCAAAACACTTTGATATTTAGAATAGAGACGTTCTGATTAATTTGGGTGTGGTGTGAGCATGGATTCAAAATATGGGTAGTTTTGGCCATACACGAAACATAACAACAAAAGATACTATTCTGGTACAAAAAATCGGAGCAGTGGACAAGAAACGAAATATATATTTTGGGTTACGGTAGTTGTCGTTGTGGGACCTTCTTTCACAACCATCGGTGTCTCTTTCACAACTCCGATTTTCTTTGCATTAGCACAGTAGAATTATGCTCTTACAAAATAACACCACACCACCGTAATCAGTTTTTTTCCATCCCATGCCTTTTTTTCTATTTTTGTATAAGGTAGTTTCACAGGTGTTGAAAACAACCGAAAAAAATGAGACAGTCGGTCTACTCTCTCTCTCTCTCTCTCTCTCTCTGTTTCTTGGTTACGTCACTGATCATTTTTGTTCGTTCTTTTCTGTCATTTTTATCACTGATTATCAGTTTCTACGTCTTCTTCTCCACCTCCTTTTTTCACTTTGCTGACGTCATAGATAGATACTGCAAAACGTGAGGGGAGAAAAGAACCTAGGATAGTTCCTACTACCTTCTGGATGAAATTCTAAATTTTAATTTTTTAAGAAATGTCGTCGACTTTAGTTTGCAGGTGAGTAGAAATAGGGAAATAATGGGTGATAGTTGCATATGAAGGTTACAAGAAAAAATCACAAAGAGACCGTTCTGATCAATGAATATTTACAGCATGATACTCAAAGATCTGGAGACAGCGGATAAGGTAATGAAGAAAGAACCAGAAGAAACGCCACCGTCCAGTGTTGACGTCTCGCCATTACAGGTAAGAGAGAAACGACGCAAAACTATGGGAAAAGGTTTTGAAATTTAAGAAAACAGAAAGGTTTTTCAAAAGATCACAGTGTTTCCTGTTACTAGATTAGATTTATCATAGCCACTCTCGTAGAATGAAAGAGAAAGAAGGCAAACCTTTCAAAAACACCTGCATAGTCTTTCTACTTTGAATCCACCCTCACAGCTCTCTGTCTAAATGTCAATGTCTTCTCTGAAGTTCCTTCTCCTTTTGCTTTGACATTTCTTGCTGCTGGTTTCACTAGGTTTCCTAGGAGAAATGACAACAGGTTGGGCGGGTACTTAAGGACTACAACGTTCTGACTGAAACTACCAGTTACTCACTAGGTATAAGATGTTCTTCTTCCAGGTTTGTTGAAATTCCCGAGCCTTTGAATCTTAATCTAATCCTTATCACGTTTTCAGTCAGTAATGCGACCGCCTCCACCGCAACTACCTGGACCACCACCACCCGCTGTTCCGACCGCAGTAACACCGAATCGAATTGTGACCTCTAGCAGTGCTGCATCACCATACGGATCACCACTGGGAGCATCACTTCTATCAAGTCAACCACTGGTACTTCCATTTGCTCCGATCAATGGAGATTTTGATTTCAATGCGGCGATTGCGGCAGTTTCACAACCAAAACCGGGTATGCTTTTCGGTATTTGATCAAAAGTAATGATTCAATCTTCTCCTATTTCTGATACGTTCCATCAACCGTATCAAGAGAATCTATCTGATATCATTCTTCTCATTCGGAGATAGCCCTTTTTACAGTGACGACTATTCGGTTCTTAGTTCTTTTATCACCTCCTCACATCACTTTTTGTTCCAGTTTGAACTCGATTTGGTCCAAGTGGGTCATCCGGGTTACTGTTTTTTTTTCTCACCCGCCATCACCTCCATTTTTTTCAGTTAGACAGTTATTTAGTTGTGACAAGCGAGAGAGAAAAAAAAGAAAGAGATAGTTATGTTATCATTTATTGTGTGTGTCTACGTCTCTCATCCTAAACCATGACTCTCGACAACTCGACCGTTTCGTATTTTTCTCTGAAGATTCTCCCCGACTCCTGGACACTCTCCTCCACAAATTGACGTCATTTTTTTGCGATGAGATGGTTGCCTTGCCGAAAAGACCGAGGAGACCAGAGACGATTGGGGCAGGAGAAGGAAAAGAATAGTTTCTCTCTCTCTTTTTTCCCCTCTGTATTATTTTTGTGTCTCTCATCACTCCCGATCAGTCGTATTCGAGACGGTATTCAGTAGTATTCTCTGTTTCTGGATATCTATCGTTAAAATAAGAGAATAGGATGGAGTCATTGGTATTCAACGGACATTCCACAATGAATGGTACGAACTATAGAACAATAAAGGTGAAATTTGAACGGAATATTCGGCTATATCTAGATCTTAAAAAGTCTAAACTTCTTCATAGTTTGTGTTCTGATCTCTATCTTTCAGATAATCTAAACTGTTTCATTGAATCGGATCACCCAGAAAATTCACGATTCTCTTTCGCAGAGTGTGATTCTTGCAAACTAGATTCTAACCAAAAGACGGTGGGAAATTTTCACATCCTTCGTCTCTTTTTTTAATTTCTTCTAGATATCGATGTGAAAGATGTTCAGAAGTTTTCGAGAACCTCTGAGAACTTTGAGGGCTTCCATTTTTCACATAGACTTTTTCCATAGACTGTAATTCCATTCCTAGTGTTTTTGAATGGTTTCTGATCATTTTTTCGGTAATCGTTAAATCTCTAAAAATCACACAAATGACCTATCAACCCGTTCTAATATCTCATTAGATTTTGCAGGAGGACCATCGCAAAACGGTCTTAGCGGAGGAGTGCCCGGACCGTCGAGTGGTATTGTTGGAATGCCAGTTCAACCTCCAACCAGCACACCATCCCAGCAACAACAACAACAACCAGGCGTCGAGGGATCATCCGGACTGATTGCCATGAAACCAATGTTAGGCATCGAGACATCGACTTTTCCAGGTTTATTCAAGAATCAACACTTTTTGACTATTCATGTTTAGCTTATTCAGAATTCGGAACAACTGATTGGCAATCACCGATGCTCTCGGGTGGATACAGTTCCAGTCCATCGCCAACAATGACTGGAAGCAGTGGATCGATGAGAATGGGTGGTGGACCAATGCATGGTGGAGAGGATGAATCAAATAGAAAGCGACAAGTACGGTTGCTCAAAAATCGAGAGGCAGCAAAAGAGTGTCGTAGGAAAAAGAAGGTAAATCATTTATTCTATAAGTAAGGCAATAATACTATCAAATATTCCAGGAATATGTGAAATGTCTTGAAAATCGTGTATCGGTGCTGGAAAACCAGAATAAGGCATTGATCGAAGAGCTGAAAACTCTGAAAGAGCTGTATTGTCGAAAGGAAAAAGATCAAATGTGATACTCACCGTCGTCTTACCTCTTCTCATTTTTGCCTCCTCCTCCTCAAAGTCTCTCATCAAAAAAGAAATCTCTACTGAAATCTCGTTTTTTGTTCGTTTTTTTTCTTTCTTTCACTAACTCCCAAAAATTTTATCTCCTTTGAACCAATTCTAATCCCATCAAATTGCATAGTTACTTGATGTTTAATATTGTGATATCACTCGGTTTTTCTTTTAATATTTTCCTTCAAAAATTTAGGAAATTCAATTGTTATCCTTTCGTTTTCCCAAAGCCGTCCTATCCCAGTAAATCAAACAATATTTGTTCCAAGATTACTGTAATCCCTCCTCCCGATAACAATCCCATCGTCTACGAACCGAAACCCCGTTTGCCATATTTTGTCTTTTTTTCTATTCGTCGCTAACTCGTGCTGTACCATCATGTTTCAGTCATTATTAGCACCCCTTCTAGCCATCTATGTAGTTTTATCTTTCTTTCCCTGAAGACCAATTCGATGAATATATAAAAAAGAAAATTGAGAAAAATGTACATTGTTTTTCTAATGTTCAGGAATAAAAATGCAACATATCACCTAACAAAAATCCTCCAAGTGCACACCAAATTTAGGTGATCAATGTCTACTAGCTATGGGAAAGTGTGATCCGTGGGAAAAGAAAGAGCAATTTTTCACATTCTCAAACTTCTCGGAAAAAAACGGAAATTGGAATCTATTGTCACATTTTATTTAAATTTCCGGGATAAAAATTGTTGAGAAGCTTTGTTATGCATTCGAATAATCGAAACTGATAGATTATGAGATACTGTACCATTCGAGCTTTGTTTCTGTTAACCGCAATCTTTGAGAAGACTTAGTCTCAAGGTAAGTCAAACAACAATGGACTTGCATCAGTTGAAAAATAGATTCACAAAAAGTGATTCTTCGGAAATGGGCACTTTCAATTTCAGATTTCAGTTGTTTCATTCCGAATTTGAATTAAGATGAAAACAAAAAAACTTGAATTTTTCGAAATTTTTATAACTCAAAAAGCGAAAAAAGCATCCATAAATAGGCTTTCAGGAAATGGGCTTTGAAATTTTAGTTCCTAGAAAAAGTTGTCGAAGATTTTTTCATTTTTGAAAAATCGATACATTATTTTGTTACTCCATGCAATTCAAGATACCGTATTCCTCATGGAACCCTACGCAAACTGCCAACGTTGAGCTCAATTAACTTGATTCCCGTAAGAGATATCAAATTTTTGTCAACTGATAAAATATTCATCATAACATGACCAACTTTTCATCAGTTGACGCAATTTTTGAATCTGTTGATTTCTCGAGATAATTGAGGTCAAAGTTGACGGTTTGGGTTGGTATTCTATTGGAGAAAATACCGTAATATTTTGCATTAAGGATCTTCATGATAAAAACTCCTTCAAAACTTTATATTAAACTATGTATCACTAGAAATCGTCCAAAAGAAAACTTCAAAGCAAAAGTAAATAGTTTGCAATTTTTTGTTCTATTAGGTTGGCGGGAAAGTCTTTGTCACTCTGTTTGTTTAATCACTGTTCTCGTATATGGAGGCTGTGTATGATATCGACTCTAGTGAATAACAAGGTGATAAGAACCTTCCATATAAACAAGTCCCCATCTCCTTCCCTGCTCCTCATCTGTAATTGAAACGATATGTTTGTTCCCACTGCTATTCACATCAGACATGTTTTGATTTACCTCTTCCTATCTCACACCACGATGAAGGATTCGGAAACTTTCTTGAAGAATGTGTACAACACACATGCCCCTCACTACAATACTATTCGCAATTGGTTCCATCGTTTCGAAAAAGATGACTTCTCGCTCGATGAAAAGGATCGCTCTGGGAGACCGCGTGAGTTGGATTTGGACAAGCTGAAGCACGCATTGCAATCGGATCCATTTCAATCTAGCCGTGAACTAGCTGTCACATTCGGAGTTCACCATAGCACAGTCCTTGAAGGTTTGAAGTCTCTTGGAATGAGAAAACTTTTTGGTCGATTCATACGTCATCACCTGACTCAAGCCAACCTTGACCGCCGGTCGACGATTCGATTACTCTTCTCACTCTCCACGCGGGCGATCGATGGCTGGACCGGCTAATAACCGGAGATGAGAAGTGGGTCTTCTACGATAATCACCACAGGAAATCCCAGTGGGTTGGAGAAGGAGAGAGCCCACAGGATGTCCCCAAACCCGACCTTCATCCGAAAAAAGTTATGCTCTCTGTGTGGTGGGGAGTGGACGGCCCCATCTACTGGGAACTTCTGCCCGAGGGCAAAACAATAACTGGAGACCTCTACACTACTCAACTACGAAACCTCAAGAAAGCAGTCGACCGTTCGGCCCTGAAAGACAAGAAAGTGTACTATCAACATGATAACGCTCGCCCACATGTTTCGAAACAAGTGAAGCAGGAGCTGATGGGATATGGATGGAATGTTCTCCCTCACCCCCCGTATTCTCCTGATCTTGCTCCTTCCGACTATTGGTTATTTGGCGATATGACACGTGCCTTCGAAGGAAGAAGCTTCAATTCCCGTGGAGCGGTCGAAGCGGCACTCAAACAATACTTTGCCTCACGCCCGGCTGGATTCTACCGCAATGGAATCCATAAATTGAGGGAACGTTGGAGACATGTTGTTGATAATGATGGACAATATAATTAATTATTCGGTTATTTTTTCTTTGAGAAATAAACTATTGAAAAAGTGACAAAGACTTTCCCGCCAACCTAATACTTTTGTTAGGTTTCGCAGTTTTCTTTCGATAAATTCCGCTACCAGGAAAACTCATTTTTCATTTGTTTTCCAGAGAATGCCTAGTTGTCAGAGCTTGTTTTAGCCATTGTGGTTGTAGTTTTTGGAGAAAGCCTCTTGCACAGAGGTCTTCGACCTGTAATTTAATTACGGCACAATCAAAATAGTCAATCCAGTCTCTGGCTACTAGACATTTTCTAGAAAGCAGTAGAAAATGAGTTTACCGGTCAGCAGAGTCTATTGGAAGAAAACTACAAAACTCTTTAACAAGTTTTGATTTTAAAAAAAGATTCTCGAATTTTCTAAACAAAAAATCAATTTAATATCCACATTTTGATGCCTACAGAGTATAGAAGATTTGGTTGGATGAGTCTGAAAATTTTCAGATTTACTAAACAAACATAGAGCTTTAATTTTGCAGTGTATAACTTTTCTAAAGAAGTTCAGCCAAGTTAGATGAACAGTTGTCACCATCTGAACACAAGTTGCTATTTCTGACACATGGTTGGCTTTAAGCAATATATCTCATTTGAATGAATTTTTACAAAAAGGTTGTCAACTACAAAATTGAAGCTTTACAGTCAAAAGTATACTGATTAGCCAGACTTTCGTCTGTTGATCCCTTTCGCCACGTAGAGGCTCAGGGTTTCACTGGGGGAAAACACCAACACAAAACCCCTGCCCCCGAGGAGACAGTTTTATAATTTTCAATAGTTCTTTTTCACTGCTAAAAGGCTATACGATCGCTATTTATTGTCTAGTTAATTTGTTTCTTTTTTCTTTGATTCAGTCTTTTGCAAAAGGGGGACGTTCAGCGAAAATGAATTCACCTAGCCATGAACCACCAAACATGGCGACCCTGAGGGCCTTTTATAACTTTTTTCGCATCCGACCAATCGAAAGAAAAAAGCAAATGAAACAATAAACAGCTTACGCAGGGAGCTTGAGGGCAGTCAAAAAGTGCTAGTGAAAATTATGAAACTAATTCAATAAGTGGGATTTCCCAAAGGACTGTTTTTTTTCCAATACGTGAAATTTTTACAACGTGGACTGAGGTAGGGGGCGTGATCTAATATTGATTTATTGCGTAACGTATGAAAAGTTTATAAAACTCAAAAAGTGAATGTAGATTTGGATTGAATGTAGATATTAGATCACGCCCCCTACCTCAGTCCACGTTGTAAAAATTCCACGTATTGGAAAAAAAACAGTCCTTTGGGAATTCCCACTTTTTGAATTAGTTTGATAATTTTAACTAGCACTTTTTGACTGCTCTGAAGCTCCCTGCGTAAGCTGTTTATTGTTTAATTTGCTTTTTTCTTTGGATGGGTCGGATGCGAAAAAAGTTATAAAAGACCCTAAGGGTCGCCATGTTTGGTGGTTCATGGCTAGGTGAATTCATTTTCACTGAACGTCCCCCTTTTGCAAAAGACCCAATCAAAGAAAAAAGAAAGAAATGAACTAGACAATAAATAGCGATCGTATAGCTTTTTAGGAGTGAAAAAGAACTACTGAAAATTAGAAAACTGTCTCCTCGGAGACAGAGGTTTTGTGTTGGTGTTTTCCCCCATTGAAAACCCATTTTCCCTTTCATGTACTGAGCCTCTACGTGGCGAAAGGGATCAACAGACGAAAGTCTGGCTAATCAGTACACTTTTGAAACTTGTCATTTTTCATAGTTTTTGTTGATATGTTCAGGAATATCTATATTTGAAATGTTTTCAATAAATTACTTTTTATTACATCTTCCACTTAATTTTTCTCTTTTCCAAGCCCGTTTCCAAGAAGGAAGAATCAAAATTGGACACCTCTTCGCTGGAGGTCGTGATCTACTGATCTTTGGAGTTGACGTATAACTAGCAACTGTTGTTCAGTAGACCTGAATAAATGCAGACTAATCCAACAAAATTTGCAAGATTTTGTAGACATCAGAATAAATCTATTTGACACCAATGCATTTATGAAATGTTTTCGGCCGATGCTTTCAGACCTGCTATACTTGCTCATGCAGGATTTTTTCAAGCAAAAAATTTACTGTCCTCTCCTTCTCTGCTGATTTTATTTCGGATCAGTTGAAATTAGTTTTTTTACAGGCTTTGGTGGTCCGATCCGTAGAAACCACGACATCCAAAACAAGAACTACAGTAATCAAAACTACAACTACATTAATCATCCCTGCAACTAAAGTAAACAGTCCCACAACTACAGTAACCAATCCTACAACTATAGTAACCAATCTTACAACTACAGTAGTCAATCCTACAACTCAATCTGTCCAAGTAATAACTTCACTCTCAAATTCAACTTATCTCTTTTTCCCCATTATTCTTCTTTCAATATCAATTCATATGGTGTTTCCGTTCGCTAATTGAGTATATTCATAAAAAATTTTCGCACAATTTTTTTCATATGAAAATGCAATCAAGAAGGATTAACAAGAGGTGGAGCTTGCGCACAACTGACAGGAAATTGAAATTTGATTTGGGGAGAAGTGAGTGTCGGTCTTCAGTCGTCGTATCAGTCACAGCTGAAATGAGGTTTGCTTCAATTTTTCTCTTGATTTCAATGTTCATCTCGGCTCGAGGAGCACCTGCTCCACAGCTTGGACTTGGGAACTCGATGCAGCCAGAGGTTCATGCGACTGGTTAGTATAAAAATGGTTAGATGAGCTCCAAATAGTTGACTTTTCAGGTCTTATTCCAATGATTACTGGAACAAATGTTCCTGACTCAGAGGAAGAAATCGATGCACCAATCTATGATGAACGTGAATTGGAAAGAGTTCGTGGCCTCGTCAAGCAAACGGCTGAAAATGGAAGAGACCCAGAGAAAGCACTCGGAGGATACATAAAAGATCATCCGGGATTCATGTCGACAGTTGAGACTCTTCGGATTTCTGAGTTAGGAGAGACCAGAACACTTCCACCGGCATTATCCACGTCTCCTGGACCAATCTTCACTCTTGCCAATAGAGTCCCGACGATTACAACAAATAGGCAATCTAAAGAAGCGTCAACTACCACTGGAATCACCACTGTTCAAGCTTCGACTATTACAGCAACCACTGCTTCGACCGCCACTACCACCACTTCGGATCGTTTGGTTTCTTCATCATCTAACACCCCCACCACTACTACTGCAGCTGTTAAGGCCCATTGATCTCGATTGTTTGAATAAAGTCACCATGTTAATAAACAACTATGTTTTGTGTTTTAAGTAGGAAAAGTTGAGATTTCCAGACAAAGGGCTCTTACAGATTTTTAGAAATTTAAGAACCTCAAATTTTTCGATTCTTCGATTTTTAGAAATTTCAAATTTTTTCAGATGTTCAAATTTTCCGAAATTCAGAAATTCGGAAATGCAGAAATTCAGAAATTTTGGATTTCTGAAAATTCTGAATTTCTGAAAACCTTTGATTTCTGAGTTCTCCAAATTCCAATTTTCTGGATTGTTCAGTATTTCAAAATTGTTAATTTTTTTGCATTGAAAATTCCAATTTTGAAATTCAGAAAAGGGTTTCAATTTCTGAAATACGGAGTGTCTGAAATTTTGGAATTTTGAAACACTGATTTTCAGAAATTTGAACATTCAGAGTTTCGGAAGTTGAGTAATTGATCTTTGGAAAGAAAACAGTATCTGAATTTCTTATACCGAAATTGTCAAAATTCACTTTCTGGAATCGTGAAAAAATTGAATTCTGAAATCTCAGATAACAACTTATCTGCTTCTGAAAGCTCATTTGCTGTGACTTCTGCTCTGGAAAATAAACCAAACATCGAAAATAAAAAATGTATTTAATTAAACTATTAAACACCTGTTTATTAAATCATAAAATAACTCTTATATCACATAAATTCAATTTACCAGTCTTCACTATACAAATTCTCAGTTCCAGTTAAAAGTTTTCAGAGTTCGTCATGAACTTTTGGCTCAAGCTCTGGATACACATTCTCGATGAACCATTTCATATCCTTACACTTCAAACGATCTCTCACTTTGATACTTTCACTGATATCACCGAACACAACCTTCAATCCACGTGGCTTCGCGGCGAAAAAGTTCTTCTGGAATTGAAAAGATTCAATTACATGGAATCTTGAAATAATTCATAAATCAAACCTCATAATCTCCCAACCAAGTCTTGGCAACTCTTACAGCATTGTAAAGAGCAGTGTCCATTCCTGGTTTGGAAGTGTATGGGCGACGCATTCTGAAGACGTGGCCGACTCGGGAGCACGGAGCAACAACGACTCGTCCACCACACAACCAGGCCTTCAGGGACAGCTCGATGTTTTCAGATCCCCAGATTTCCATTCCCATGTCGTACTCTCCCAATTCAACAAAATATTCTCTTCTCATAGCAAGAAGACCTCCTGGCATTGCTGGCGAGCTGAAATTTCAGATTTAGTTGAGCAAGAGTTACCCAACGTTTAAAATTTCTTACTTGAATGGCTTGACATTGTTTTCTGGAGTCTCGAAGTATTCCCATGGAAGGTAAATCCATTTGAAAGTAAGTCCCCAATCGAATCCACTCTTTGCAACCATTGAAGACGAATAATCAAAAGAAACTGGGTTGATAAGGTCGACAACAGGAAGTACGATGCTGCAAGTTGAAATTTGGTTAATTTCCAAGATCTGTGGTACCTCTTTGGATCTTCCTTAATTGGTTGCAAAAGTGGTTCCAACCATCTCTCGGCAACTTCACAATGCGAATCCATGAACACAATAACTTCTCCAGTGGCGAGTCTTGAAGCATGAACCTTAGCACGGATCAACCCCTAAAACTTTCTCTCTATTTTTCTTGATTTTGATTTCTGAATGGTTTCAACCTGTCTGTACTCGCTTCTATGAATAATCAACTTGTCTTCAAGTCCTTTCAATTCAGCATATTTCTCCAAATGCTTCGTCAAAACATGATCCTCTTCAGAAGCATCTTCATAGAGGACGATCTCCTTCAAAAGAGATTTAGGAGTGAATTCAATCAATCCATTAATCATTCTAAGAATTGTGGAAAGTGCCTCATTATGATGAATGACAACGACGGAGGTGGAGAATGAAGCATCGTATTTCTCATCCTCGCATCTGAAAGTTGCAAAGATTTTGGATGAAGTCTATTTTCCAACTTACAGCTTGTGAGCTTGTTTTCCAACATTTCTCAATGGTCCCAACTTCTCTGAAGATAGAGCATCAAATGCGAAACTCTTGATTCCCCAATCAGTTTTTTTGGCTTCCTGAAATTATTTGATAAAAACATCTATGCAATTTAAAGCAACTTACACTTTCAGAGAGATCATCTTTAGCAGTGGTATGATTGCATTTTCGCTCTGCTGGAGTTTTAAGAGCCAACCAGCCTTCCAAGCTGAAAAAAAATGAATAGGTAACTCAGATTCAGATTCAGAATTCAACTTACTTCTCATAAGGATCCACGTGTTCACATTTCGGTAGTTTCTCCTTCTTCTCCTCTTCTTTTTCATTGCAAAAACCACTCCACTGCACAGTAAAACACACAAAATTGAGGTCACGACAGTTTGTCGCATTCTGGAATTAGGAGTTTTGAAAATTGGGAAAGATTTGAAAAACATAGAATTAAGAGAATCAAGAACCACAACTGAACAAAACGGTCTCCAAAACTTCCTTCTTCGCAAATCGAAATCTTCTTTTTTTCTTGAGAAGAGAAGGAAAAGGGAAGCAGAACGATTCCAGTTTGTCTCCTCCCATGAATTTTCATTATATATCCTCTACCTTCTTTTTTTTTCGGAAGATTCTGTGTCTCTTTTGCAAAAACTATTCTTTCTCATTCTCGTTTTCTTTTCCTTCTATTAGCTTTTTAGAAGAAAAGACAGTGTTACCATTTTTGACACATAGATTCTACTGGAGATTCTTGAAGGAACAGGAAAAAAAAGAGAAACAGCAAAATACTCGAGAACCTGAACAATGTGTGAAACCCATCTCTATTGATGGGAGTATAATTGAGGCCAAGGCCAAAATGAATGAGAAAAAACAAAGACTGCTTGTATTAAGAAAAAAGGGTTGGATGTTCGTATGGATGACCTTGTTTCTTCTCATCGAGATTTTTATCTTCAGAAATGGATCACTGTTTGATATTGCGGTTTAAAAGAAATCCTGCAAAGAAATTATGGAAATGAAACAAAAATGAAACACTGGAATTCCTGAAAAAGTTCTTGAAGTGATAAATGAGTCATTTTAAGACTGTCTTCGATGTAATGTGATTTGGGAAAATATGAACTTCCGGAGAGTGGTCAAAGAATGCTAGACAATATTTTTGCAGATCATTTTTGTTGAAATTCAGTTGAAATTGCTTCGAACGCGTTCGTATCAATTTTGGAGGTAATGCGAAAATTGAGTAGTGTCTTGATAAACTGTGCCACGGCTCGGAGCTATGGAAGAGAAACGCCGGTGACCGTCGCCGAAGGTCCCACAACGACAACTACCGTAACCAAAACATATGTTCATTGTCCGGAGTAATTTTCTCGAATTCCGTGCGTCCTCAGTCAATTTTTTCACAATCAAATGTTTTGTTTTTCGATTTTTCTAGATAAAAATAACATAAACCTGACGGAACGCAGTGAAAAACGAGAAAAAAATCTGGAAAATGAAAATACTTTTAGGTTGCTGTAGTTGTCGCTATGGGACCTTCGACAGAGGCTACCGTCGTTCCTCTTTCACAGCTCTGGTTTTTGTACCGAAATAATAACCGTTCTTTCCGATTACTTTCTTTCGTTTTCGTTTATTTCGGGTTTCAAATCTTTCCGATTTGTTCAGTTGTTCTCTCTGAAAACCTAATATATTACGCAAAAACACACAACTTCCATACTGTAATCCTTGCGGCTTCGTAAAGTTTAATGTTCTTGGCTTGGCGCGAGCGGCAACATTCAGTGTTTTCTTGATTGCTTGATTTGTTTTCATTTTTGTTGCTCGATTCGTCATTTGTGTTGCATGATTTTTTTCAATTGCTTTTTCTTTTTATCCCTTTTCCAGCCAAATGTTTTATTTTTGAACAATTTTCGTAACTTTTTCTTATTCCAGTACACAAGATGTCAGAAGCTTGGATCACACTGGCAACCAACGATCGGTACGCGCAAGGTGCGCTCACTCTGCTCAACTCGCTTCACTCATCGGGAACGAACCGAAAAATTCATTGCCTAATTACCAATGAGGTATGTTTATCAGCAAAGCTATCGAATACATTAGAAGTTGTAGATCTCTTCAAGTGTTCGCCAGGAACTCGAAGACAAGTTTGATGAGGTCACTGTGGTAGACGTTTTCAACAGCAACGACTCGGTATGAGATTTTAGTCGTTTTTTTCGTCTCAATTTTATTATTTTTCAGGACAATCTCGCGTTGATCGGACGACCGGACCTTGGAGTCACTTTCACCAAAATTCATTGTTGGCGTCTCACTCAATACACCAAAGCCGTTTTCCTCGATGCCGATACAATGGTCATTCGAAATTCCGATGAGCTGTTTGAGCGTCCCGATTTCTCAGCAGCGGCTGATATTGGCTGGCCTGATATGTTCAACTCTGGAGTTTTCGTTTTTTCGCCTTCCCTGGAAACCTATCGAGCTCTTGTTGCTATCGCCACTTCATCTGGATCCTTCGATGGAGGCGATCAAGGTCTTCTGAACGAGTACTTCTCCAACTGGCGCGACCTCCCATCCGCTCATCGTTTGCCATTCATCTACAACATGACTGCTGGCGAGTTCTACTCCTACGCGGCCGCCTACAGAAAATATGGCGCCCAGACCAAAATCGTCCACTTTATTGGAGCTGAGAAGCCATGGAGCTCGAATACCAGAGAAATCGGAATCCACAAAAGCGAGCACTGTCAACAATGGCACACATTCAGTCAGCAAAAGTTTTCACCAACGAAGAAGGCTCAGGGACCACGCTCGTCTCAAGTGTCTCACGATGATACGGAAATGCAACGTGTCGCATGGGAAGCTGGACATCCGGACTACTTGGGAAAAGACGCTTTCAAGAACATCCAAAAGGCACTTGATGAGAGCATGGCTGATGCGAAACCTAAAGGCCAGTAGATCTGGTATCGTATATTCTCATTTTGTTTATATTGCATTTTAGCCAATTAACATAGCTTCACAGATTTATTATTATGATTTAATGCAATAAGTAATGTTCTTGTGTTATAAGTGTCGGTTAGATTAAACCAATTTAAATATAAGAAAGAGTGTAATAAATCGAATTCTGCGGGAAATCTTTTTTTAAATTATTTACCAGATACAAACCACAGAGACAAGACAAACAGAAATTGGTAATTTTACCCTAAAACTTGAATTTCGAAGATTCCAAAAAATTAGAAACTCGGGATTTTCCGAACATCCTGGCTCCATCGATTTGATTTTCATATGACAATATTTATTCTAAACGAAATCATATCGATCACAAAACGAAAAAAGAATATTAATTGTAAAATATGTTAAAGAAATGAAATCCAAACGAAAAAGTTGTATGTATGGATAAAAAGAGCTCAAGATTTTGGTTTCAGGTGTCTAGAGAGCCACTTCCATAATCCTCCTTTCGCCGGCTCCATGTTCTTTGATGGATTTTTTCCAGTAATTCTGAAACATGTTTTTTAAATTGGAGTACACTTCCTGGCGTGATGGTGTTTGCAGAAATAAAGGGTATTTTCCTACAGTAATTTACTGTATTCATCGCTAACGAAAACACAAAAAATATAGACAACTGAACAGAAAAACTAACTTTCCCATATAAACTGGAACGTGACGATTCGTGTCCCAAAGAATTGCACAAAATGGATAAGGAACGATTTCGTTGTCCTCCGACTCTTGGATATTCCGTTTTGTAGGAGCATCTGCATTACAATCTTCGGCGGGAATTCTGAAATCATTTGAAATTTAAAACAATACGAAATTTCTTTAAAAACCAACCGAGTGCTTGGAGAATTATGAAAGTTAAGAATGGAAAAGTTCTGAAGGTGTCCCACTTTGTACATAGAACCACCAGGTGACGGGATAGCACTAGGAAAGGCAAGATCTCCAAATCCTCCCTCTGTGAATGTCTCATCAATGTCCACGATTTTCTGAAGATTTTACACTTTTTGATAAAATTGATTACTGTACCTGAAGTCGCTCTGCAAACCGATTCGGATGAAAATCGCTTTCACCCCAATATGGGAAATATATATTTTCCTTTCTTTTCTCAACCATCGGTGTAGTTGCACTCAATTTCCTCTCGCATTTTCGAACAATACAAGGAGCAAAATGGAATTGCTCATCGATATGAACACGAAGCTCTTCATAGGAACACAGATTTCGAGAGAAATTGTAGATGAGGACAAAGCAGAGATCAGGTTTCACACAGGGTAAAACTATCGAATGCCAGGCTGGAAATTAGAGAGAATTAGATGAAACTGCTTAAAAATGTTTCTTACGCATTTCAGATTCTCTTTCACGAATTGCCAAGTTTGGTGTAGCCGCCACACGAAAGTATACGGTATCTTTTAATGTGTAAAGAAACTTGACATCAAAAATATCAGGGCGAATTGCTACATTCGCATAGCTGATCCACATAAGAATTGGGGATTTTTTAGCAAGTTCAACCGCGTTATTTCCTTCTTCAGCTGGTTTCGTTTCCATATCAACCGAGTCAACGTCATCATTCAATGATTCTTCATCCCATACATTCACCACGGTTTGTCGCTCGAAATTCTTTTCTAAATTCTCTCTTATCCATGCTCGATGCTCTTCCGCTCCTTCAAAAAGTTTCAATTCAACAAAGTAACGACGGAGACATTCGAGAGTTTTCAGATGAAACGAAACGGCACATGTTGGATGACAAAGAATACGTCGAGCAGTTTTGATGTGACCTGGTTTCGATGATTGATTCAATTCATTTTTCCAAGTTTTCATGAATTTTTGGGTGATTTCCATTAGATTCTTGTGCTAAAAATAAGTTAATTTTATTAATCTGATAGAATACTGTACCTGAACTTGAAGAGCCAACTCTCCGGAAGTGGAGCTCCAACCGAATTCTGTTCTGAGCCCAGTAGTTTTCTATAAGTCAGTGATATCACTACTGATAACAACCAACGAATTGAATTAGAGAACTTGAGAAAAGTATTTTATTTTCGACTACTTGAATATTTCAAATTTTGATTTTATGAAAACTTGATAATTTCTAAATTTTCGAGCTTTCAAATTGTTCCCTCCGACTTCCCGAATATTCAAATTTGAGGATTACCGAGATTTTGAATCTCTAATTTTTTGAACTTCCGCATTTCTTAATTTCCGATTTCAAGAAGTTTTTCGGATGGAATTTTTATACTGGTATTTTCTATTACCGAAAACAAAAACAAACCTCCTGACAAATAGACATCAGAAAAGAAAGTTGAGAGATGAAGTGTGGAAAACTCAAGAAAAACGAATAATCTGAATTGTCGAGCATGTTGCTGAAATCTTAATTTCAGAAATGTCAACACTTCAAAAATATACCCATAAAGTCTATATCCAATCTTCATCCATTTTCTGATACTCTAAACAAGGATTATAAATTTTAAAAATTCCAAAAATCAGTTCAGACCAGAGAAGCGTGCGATAGATCGGTTGTTCCGAAATCCTTGAAACTTTCAGAAATTGGCTGAAGTTCTTCTGCTTTTGACATCTTCTGATATAGTAGCTACAGTAGGCCGGTCTATGCGTCGGGGGTTTCTAGATCCACATCGAATATGAGCTTTTGCAAAGTTCACGTTTTTATTTTAAAATTTATATTCTGGGGTACGAGCTACAGTACCGCTTCTCCTACAAAAAGTAACTTGATGACCCTGAAATCGATTTATCATCGTTTTGAATCTTCGAAATTCGTTTATTATCCAACTAACAAATTCTCACAATGAATACTAACACCTTCATCACTTGCTTCCTCATCTTGTCACTCATTTTCTCCATTGTGGATTCCCGTATTTCGACTAAAGAAGAAGTTTCTCCAAGAACAATTGTTTTCGGAAAAAGTTCGTTTGTAACTTTTTATCCTTGAAATCTTCAATTTTTGTAGATTCTGAGCGACCGAAACGAGATTATCCTCCACGCTCTGTAATGGACAAGAACCATCAGTCCGCTCTACAATGGAGACCGAAAAATCTTCAGCCTCGAGATTTTAAATAGAACTTAATGAAGCTTTTAATTTATATATATATATATTTTTTTTTTGTTAATTCTTTACATTGATTATCAAAAGTTTTAAAATCAGAAAAACGAGACAGTAGAAATTGATTTTTGGAAAACCCAGAAAGTTAGAAATCCGGAAATTAGAAATTCGGAAAATCAAAGTTTTCACAATCAGAGTTTTGGAATCGTTAAAATTTCGAATGTAAATCTCCGATTTCTTGACCTTCTCGATTTCTCAATTTTCGAATTTCTTGAATTCTGAATTTTCAAAATTCTGAAAATCGGAATTTCTAAATTCCAGAATTTCATACGCTCAGAATTATTGAAATTTGCAACGCTCTCCTGAATTTTGAATTTCTTATCCATGATCTGAAATTCTCAAAATTCTGAAAGTTTCCGAATCAGGAAACTCCGAAGTTTAGATCAATCCTCAGGTTTTCAATTTTTTTTCACTTTTTCAGGATTCTATTCCAATTTTATTCTATTTTCGAAAGTCATAAATCTCAAGTCACGACTTAAAACTCAAAAAGCAATTCTTGTACTACATTTTCAATTTTTCTACTTCTCCCCGTATCCCGTTCTCTTTTGATTTCTAATTCATCTCATTTCCATTCCCCACATTCAATAGTGCTAGCTGACATTTGGTACTCTGCGTCTCCACAACAACCCACACTCTCTCAATATCTCTTTTTGTCTCTCTTATCACTAATCCCAACGTTAGACATGCAGCGTTACGTTGCCTATTTTAACTTCTAGTCCTTTCTGTGTCCCTTTTTACTCTTTGCCCTCTTCTGATGCCCGACATATTTCCTCCACAAAATGTGGCTCATCTTCCTCAAAAACCAGTGGTAGCTTTCCAACAACCAAGTAAGCTCTTTTAACTTCGTAGAATCTGAAAAACATTTAAACTTTCAAGGATCCCGTCGAGTAATTGACATGAACAAAGTGATGAATCTGGAGAAAGTTGTGGCAAAAATCAAGAATCAGAATGTGGTGAATGAGGTGGCAAGAGGAAGACATTGAATGGAAAATTGTCGTTCAAATGTTCTAATTGTGAATTGGAATGGTTGAAATTAATGAAATTTTGAATTTATTATATGTTTTTCTTTTTTTTTAGTTAAGAAAAGGGAAATGGGCCAGAACTCTAGACTACTTTGAATTGTTGCAAAAGTTTGTGAAAAATATAAACTCCGAAAAGTTAAAAAACTGATATATGTACTTCAAACATGGTTATATCCTTTTGAAATTATTTTACTATTAGACAAAACTGAATTTCAATCCGTTTTGATTTTCGAACTACCCAACTTTCCCGAATGATCAAATTACTGATTTTCAGAACTTTTAGATTCAGAATTTAAGAGAATTTTAAAAATTCCGAATTCGAAAACTTGAGAATTTCTAAATATTCGAGCTTACGACTTTGTGAATATCTGAATTTGAGATATCGCGAATCGAAAATTTGAGAGTTTAAAAATTTAAGAACCTTCGAGTTTTATAAATTCACAAAATTTTGAACTTCCAAATTTCAGATGATTCTCTGAACTCCCGAAAATTTCTGAATTTCTGAACTTCCGAATTTCCGAATTTCAGAGTTTCAGAACTCGAGAATCGAAAATTTGAGAATTTTTGATTTTTCAAAATTCTTAAAGGTGGGGGGACAGGACATTTTACGGGGGATTTTTGGGGCCAGAGTATGCATTCTACCGTGACGGTGTACAACGCTTAATGTCACTTTGCGTACAGCTGTCGTCCTCGCCTTTATGTATGCAATCGGGAGACCGCTTTCTTTTTGCCCGTGTAGCTCAGTCGGTAGCGGCGCCGCACCCTCAATCCTCGTCCCACACGTTCAACTCCTCGAGAGGCATGTTTAAACGAAATTTCGAGAACATTATTTTTTTCATGTCCCCCCACCTTTAACTTCTGAATGTATTATACATTTTTTTGGGTGTTTTTTGCTTCATTAAAGTATCAAGTCTGATATAAAAAAGACAACGTTTTACATAAAATTACGGGTATTGTGAGCTGGAGTCAGAAGTTTTAAGATTATGTTTAACTAAACCAAAAAAGGAAACAAAGAAAAATGCCTTCATTTTATATATTTTTTCTATCGATAATCACATAGAACAATCAAGTATTCACAATCACATTTAGTTGTTATTCTTGTTAGTAAAGTGTCTCCAAATCAGGCTTTTTCGTCATATGAACATAATAATTGATGACCGAACGGATAACGTTGACGACGTCTTCAGACTCGATTCCATAAGCAACTTCTAACAAAAAATCAGGTAGACGACTCTCGAAACAATCCACAACTTTTAATTGCTGTTCTGGAGGCATACGATTCCACAAATCCTCTGCTGACAACGATTCCCGGAATACTGTGGTTTTTCGGTAGAACTAAATGTTAGTATGGATTACGGTAGATACGAATAGACTACAAACTTCATATCTCCATATCTTCTTTTCCGTGAGAAGGCAATTCATAAAATGGAATTCGATTTCTTTTTGGAAAGACCCAGCGGATCGAATGACAATATCAACTGGTTGACTGTCAGATTGGGAGTACATTTTATAGGTGAATGCCACGCGCATTCCATTTTTCAGACGAATTTTCGCTAGTCCAGAATATGAAGTGGCGATGAATTCATCCCTAAATTCATTGAAATTTGAAGATTTTAATGAATTCTAGAAATTTACCATGTTTGTCCATGTTCCAGAATAGTGAATCTGTTTAAAAATGAAGTACTTCTTTCATATGGAACAGTGTAGTTGGTTCCAGTATTCAGATAAACTCGACCTTGATTATCCATGTGACAGAAGTGGGGATTTTCTGGAATCCCTTTTAGAATACAAGGTCACCGAAACATTTTCTACCAACTTTTGAAAAACAAACTCTTTGGTCCATTATAATTGACCCACTGACAAACTAGACTACGGATAGAAGAGAGAGTTGTGAAGACGTCGACGTCGTCGAGAAACTAAAAAAATTTCAGAGTTTTGGAAACCGCTAGAAATTTATGGAATTCGGTACTTTAGATGGATTACACGTGGAATCTTTCAACATCAAAAAATCGGTAAGAATGGGACATGGGAAAATTGGAGGCATTTCACCGTCGGTCTTTTGAGGAAGAGCAATTCCGTTGGGATGGAGAAAACTTGGAAGTTGATCTACCGTAATCTCCTCTGTATATGTAGTTGTCTCTTCTCTTCCATCTGAAGTTTTTCTTTTTTGATGACGATGAAATGTTTGATAATTGTTGAGGAATTCGATATGAACCGATTCTTTCAGTTTTTCCAGTCTTTTGGAGACCATTATTTTTGGAGACTATTACAGAATTCTAGTAGAGGTTCTGAAATCTTTCTATAATTTTGAATATCTGAAAACTTCGTACCCAAGATTTGCTGCGGAAAGCAGAGGAAGCAGTGGAAATTGCGATATCAAAATTTTCGATTCTTGATATGATCACTGGGATGGAAGATAGGTTTTTGACGACGTGGTTGTAAAATTAAAAAAACTTGTTTTTGATGATTTTACGCAGATATCAAAAGTTTTAGGTATCAGTGATACCGTATCACCTAAAAGTTAAGAATCAGAAAAATGCATTTAAATTGATTTTTATGTATTTAAAATCAAAGGAGATCACAAAAATCAACATGAGAGTTTCAAAACTGATCCAGTTTTGACGATTTTCAGAAAATAAAAAAAATGTGAAAACTTTGGAAAATTTTATTCAATGTCCAAGTTAGCTGAAACTGAAAACTGAAAATATTTTTGTCAAAATAGTCAACATCATCATCCTCGTCGAAACGCTTATCAGTATTATGAAATATTTTCGAAAAAATTGGAAATTTCCGAAAGCTCTGGAATCTATAATTACGAAAAAGCTATTTCAGAAATGGAATACTTTACAAATTTTGATATCTCTGAAATTACAGTAATCTTCAGTTTTTTCCAAGAATTGGGTTACTGAAAACTAGCTGGTGCGCCTTCAGCGCGATTCCATCTAGTTTTTTTTCTGTTTAGTCGCTCCGCTCCTCATTTTTTCTTAAGGGGTCACGTAAATCTATATTTATTTTCAATCTTTTCAAAAGTTGACATCGGGCCCAACAGACGTGTTTTTTGCACATATATAAGGAAGATACTGAAATATCATCAAAATTCAAAAATACTTAAACCCTGAAAAACGAAGCTCAGAAATTTCTAGGTAACCAATTTCAGAAGTGAAAAATAATTAGAAGTTCTAAAAATGAATGTTAATTACATTTCATTTTATTGTTTTGGATTATTTATTCTTGGTTTTTCATTCCCGATTTTTCCTCAATTGTTTTTATTCCACCTTTTTCATTTCAAGCGTCTCCTTCGATTTATTTACATTCCAATTTTTTCCTCGATCTTTCATTTCCAATTCTTCACTTCAATTTTTAATTCTCGATTTGCCAAACAGTTTTATCAAAGAACACCAAACAACCAAACAGTTTTATCAGAGAACACAACATATTAGGATCAGGTTCATAACTATTAACGAGCAGTAAAAAAATTTAATGAGTCAGACACCATCAGTAGAGTCAAGATTTGCAGTGGACGTGGTTCCGCTTTCTACATCCATGAAATAGTAGTTGTTCTCCACTGGAGTCGTCGAACTAGATTGAAGAGACAGCAATCTCTATAAATGAAGCTCAACTTGATGATGAGAAACCGATTCCTACCTCATAACCTCTTTTCTTGCTATACCATTCTTTGTATTGTGCTCTAATAACACGAGACGGCAGGTTCACTTTTTCTAAAATCAAGTGAATGTATCCGAGTGGCAAATAGTAACCGAAATCGATCAGTTTATCAAACTCCATGTGCAAATAAGCAAGTGTTTTTGCGTCGAGAGTTCCACTGAACACTGGATTCATTTGACTGAATGATTCCACTTTTTGACAGTCGTCTCCATCTTCACACACTTCGTTTTTCAGCGTACGAAGATGTTTGAATCGAAAGTAAACTTGTTCATATGAAACTCCAACGTCGTGTGAAACGTTTACCATATCTTGGATAGAAGGATGACGATTGGCTTCGAATATATCGATATCTCCTTGAAAATGATAAACATTCTGATAATCGTCAGACCATGCGCTTTCAGCGACGCTATTAGGAGTGGAATTCTCCTCTATTCCAACAACATCAATATCCTCATCTTCAGTATCTCCGTTTTTGTTGCTAGCCTTCGATTTTGTAGGAGCCAGTTTGATTCGTTTTGAATCAGAAGAAGAGCTGTTTGATGATCTTTTCATTTTGAACTTGATTTTTCTAGCTCTTTCCACATTTTCAGCACGTGGCGGTAGGTGAGATGGGTCCATTAGATTGTGAAGTGATCCATTAGGAGTTTCATAAAAACAATTCTTTATTGCGCCTCCATCTGTCTTTTCGCATTCTTCAGTAGAATAAAGCTGATCGTCTAGCACGTTTGAAATCTGAAATCGGCATATTTAACCAGTCTGAACATATGATGGGTAACCTCTTCTTTCGGAACGATAGCATTTTCTGGCGTTGGTTCAGAGTTGGAGCATAGCATTGAGTTGAGATGATCTAGAAATTCGGCAGGATCGGCCAGAACAGATTCACGAGAGTCGCCTGCGTTGTCCTCCTGGCTATCTAGCTGAGTAAGAGCTTGCAGCTGCAAACAGAAATGGATATTTAAAAAAGAATAATGGATCAACTGTGTCATCCACCTACCAAACTTTCCTTCGTGTCCTCATCTTGCGCGTTGAAAAAGTTGACAACAACTTTCTGCGTCGTTTCGTATTTATTCGAGAGATGTTGTAGACGTTCATATGTGAGTTCTGGATTTTCGTTGAATTCTAATTCGAGTTTCTGGTGAATTTCTTCTATGCGATCCGATTCAATTCCAGATTTTTTTTCCGAAAGCCATTCTTTGTATTGATCCCGAATGATGAAGGGCGGTAAATCAATTTCAGATGCAACCAAATGCATGTAACCAGTATCTGGATTCTTCCCAGCCGGTCCTAGCATTTCGAAGATGTCGTACATTCTATTCACTGTATCTCCATTCAGAATACCATCGTATGCAGCTCGATGGGCGAAGAACTTCAATACTTTGTCACAGTTATCACCTGGCGGACATTTCACATTGAAAGCACATCGAAAATCGAGAAACCGGTAAAATACTTGTTTGTATTTTGTTCCAGTAGACTTTGAGATGTCGATCATTTCTTGGATAGTTGGATGTTGGTTCTTCATGAAATACTGATAATCTCCGGGAAATATATTCGTAGAGCAACCAGGACCGTAAATCAAATTGTCTTTGCCACCTGCTCGGTACGCTCGAAAAAAACTTGATTGCCCAGTTGATGAGCTGCTTGCTGCAGGAGAGATATCAGGTACTCCTCCTTCTTCTTCTGGTTTAGTTTCGATGCGATCTAACTGTAAAAAAATCGGCTGTGAAAAGTCGCTTGATTTTTATTTCCTCACCTGCTCTGCTGAAAAATCGAAAACCGGGTGTACAGTTTTTCGAAGCACGTATGGAATGGTGGGTACAGACCGTTTTCTTGTTTTTTTGGAGAACAATTTGATTGCATTGGGCACTTCTTCATCAAAGCCCTCAGAATTCATATCTTCTTCGTGAGGTGTTTGCTGATAAGAATTGTTTGTTTTCTCTGTTCGCTTTTCACTTACAATTGGTTCTTGATACTGCTTGACTAACTTTTGAATAGTTTTCAAATCCACTTTATAAATGCCTTTCAGAACAATCGCCTCGGAGACACTTAGCTGTGGCCGTTTACGGATGATTCGTAGAAGTGAATCTCGTTTCAATCCAATGCGTACCTTTCAAATATCGAGATATTTTCATGAAGTAAAACAAAGGGTTCTTCTTACCTGCTTTGAATTATCATGTTCTATCGCTGCTGAGCTTCGTGGGTTACAATGTTTATCCATTTGCTGCTGGAACAATTGTTGCTCTTCGAAGACGATGCTGTCCTGGAAATTAAGTAATTTTCTGTGAATGTGAATATTTAAAGAAACCTACAAATTCACTTCCGGAATGCTGCGACTCCTCAAGCCATTTCTTGTAACACTTTTGAACCATTCCTGGTGAAATTTCAAGCTTATCCACTAAGAGATGAACACTCCCAATGTTTAGAACCGGTCCATGATGACAGAACTTATTGAACTCTTGGCGCATTGCTTCCAATGAATCCATCGTAAGACGTCCTTTATATCTAATATTGGATTGGAAATAATGTGCAACTCTACGGCAAGTGTCGTTCGCTGAGCACTTCTCGCTATAAAATAATCGAAGTTCGCTGAATCTATAGAAAACTTGTTGGTAGGAAACAGTTGCTGAGCCAGAAATTCTAATCATGTCTGTAATCGATGGATGTCGATTTGCTTCGAAGTACTTTTTGTCGTCTTCAAATGAATAGTGCTCACTGTAATCGGATGGGTCTTGAGAGGCAGAGTCTTCCTCGTTAGAATTTTCCGTTCCTTGACTATCACTCTCTCCGAAATCCTTAAATTTAAAAGTTTTCGAATTGAATACATTTGTCAAATCACCTCTCTACTTGCCTCGTCAGATATTCTGGAAAGTGCATTTTGTTTTTTATCCTCAAGTTTTCTTGTCTGTTGTTCACACCAGGAGTCCATATCCAGTGTCTTTCCGGGTGATATGCTTGCTGGGCCTGCACGGATTCCGGAGGCACGAGGCTCAGTGTCTAGCCATCTATTGCAACGAGTAGTTGCGGCCTGAAATTCGGTATATCTTCAACTTCTTCAAAATGTTAGTATCACTCGAAGCGATTTACGGTTTCGCAGATTATGAGTATGTGTCATGGATAACTCATCAGTTCGCGATTGTTTATCATCGGCTGCTTCGCTCGGCTGAAAAAAGAAGCAAACTGATTCGAATTGTTTGTTTTTCAAAGTATTACCTTATTTAATGGCACTAAATTATCGGGAGCCGTGTTCGTGGGTTCCATTGCACTGAAAATTTAAATCTCGTACTTCTCAAGCTCGACCAATTGGAAAAATGTGAAAAACAATGAGTGCACAGTAACTTACGAACAATTGCAGACCGACCAGCTACAGTAGTCCGGGTGAAAATTTTGAGATCACACCAACTGGGAGGAAAAGAAAAAGTGGGAAGAACCATCTGGGAGGAAAAATGGGCGGAGCCATTTTATTACATTTTATTATTTTACCATTTTTTTACCTGGTCAAGAAAAAAACCATGCGGCAAAACCGTGCCAGGTTTGTAAATGAGGCTCCGCCCATTTTTCCTCCCAGATGGTTCTTCCCACTTTTTCTTTTCCTCCCAGTTGGTGTGCTCTCAAAATTTTGCGTTCTGTTTTTTTTTACAAACAACAAGCCGATTCATCACCACACTTGAGAAATCATGGCTAATAGTCAGTCCGAAAAAAAAAATATGTCTTCATCGAATTCAGTTTAGAAATGTACATGATATGAGGTAACAAAATCGAACGATACATTTAAAAAGTATAACAAAGAATCAAACAAGGATGGTCTCATGCATTAGAGCAAGAAGGCTGTAATTATTTCATAACAATCACATTCTACCCCGTCCTTCATAGGAGACTTGTAGATGATTGCTTTTCCGGATCCGTCCTGTGTACAACTCAAACAAATTGAAAGCTGACGGATTTGTCCAGAGGTTGTTGGTACGTTGAACACAACTCTGAAATATTGCATGAAATAAGTCTATTTTTCGGAAAATGAAAATTCAAAACGCACCGAAACTGTTGCTTAGTCGGTGAAACTTGGAAGAACTGATGAACAGAGAAGTTGACAGGGTTCATATGGGTTCGAAGATAACCTACCAAAAGCAGCTCATTTGGAATCATTCTAATTCGATCTTCCGGGTGTTTGGCATAATGCTGAAAAATTAAATAAAATAAATTGATTTGCTGGAAGAATCTTACCTCTTTAGCTTCCTGAACCATGGCAATCTTTTGTTGTTCTGTTAATCTTCTTCTTTGTGTCCCTTTAGCCAAATTCTTCAAATCGTTCTCCAGAAATTGACGAATGTGTAGTGGAAAAAGTGTCACATCAAGAAGTGGAAGAAGATCAAGCATGTCTTGAGGGTGAGACAGAAGAATATGTAGAGCTCCCATGGTTTCTGATTGATGACGCAGCAACACCTATTTATTACTTCTTAGTTTTGATATTGGAACACTGTTTCACCTGAAATCCTTTCAAAGGATTCTTCTCATCAAACTGTTCTGCAACATCTGTTCCATACAGTACTGAAACCACTTGTTCTGTTTTGAAATTTTGGTTCTCGCTTTCATTGAGCATCACTTTGGTGAAGATCTTTTGTGTTTGAACCACTTGAACTCCTTGTCCTTTCAATATTCTTTGAACTTTCGCTTCAATTACAGATAAATCGTAATTTTCAGATTTATCGAACAACTCTGAAAACAGAAATAACGTAAAGCTGACATCGTTAGAACAATCTTACTATAGGCAGTGATAACTTTGTAGAGCTCCTGATAAAAGGAGATGCTGGCATTTGCAGTTGGAAGCTGAGAAACAGATGCTGACTGAGTTGTATTCGTTTGAGTTGTTGTTCCAGAAGTAGTGTGAGTTGTAGTTGACGTCGATTGTTGAGAATCTGAAGTATCATGATTTATCAGCGCATTGAAACCATAGCATACTGCTTTTGAACTTTTTCTCTTCCCTATCATCTTCTCGTACTCCTGGTGGGTATACATTCGGTCCTTTTGTCACTTTTGGATCAAACGCTGGAGGTGGTCCACGGCCTCCAGTTTCGATCATTGTGGCTTTTTTATCCAGGGCCATTGCAACATCATATTGTTTCATCAATTGACCGTCGGTAGTTCCCGGCGTTTCTCGCATTTCTTCTGCTATTGCCATGGCCTGAAAGGAATTTGTTTGAATGGAACCTTTGGTAGATTAAGTACTCGATCTGCGTAAACACGAACTTCGGCTGCCTTAGCAGCAGCTTGTGGATCGACTGGAGCCGTTTTTGCTGCGACCGCTGGAAAAAGATTCACGACAGAATATAAATTCAAAAGATAGTCTAACCATTCTCCAAAGCCCCCGCTATCTTTCCACCTTGATATCCGGCAAGACCATCAAAGACTGGAGTCGCTATGGCATCGAAAATAGCTCCACCAGATGGGTTGTCAATTACTTCCTGTACGCTAGCAAAGATACCTTCTGGTCTAAACAATCAATTTGTTTACAAGGAATAGTTCGAATAACCCACTTATACTCTTTTTCTCTTAAAGATGCTCCCAATGTGGCAGCCCCATCCAAAGTTCCACCAGTAGCCATTCCACCTACAACTGCGCCAACAGGTCCTCCAACAAGGAATCCTGAATTATATTGTTAATTTCGCTGGGTACCTCAGAACTGTACCTGCGGCTCCTCCAGCCATAACTCCTGTGGTTCTAGTCGCTGCCAGAATTGCTTTATTACCACCTTCATGATCTCCAGCTATATGATGAATGGCTCCTTTGACATGACCAACTCCAGGGACTCCATCAGCGAAATTCGATACATTTTTCACACATCTGATTTGAGTGTCTCCAGCTTTTTCTGGTTCTCCGGCTGCCAAATAAACCAGTGATGTAACCTAAATCTATGTTTCAATGGCTACAGTATACATCTCCTACCTGCGAAACTCCAACACATTCATGAAGAAACTTTTCTTGAGTTGCAGCAGCTCCATCCACATCGCCGGTTACTAGCTGGACCACTGACTTTGCTTGTGACACCACAGGAATCGTATTGACGTTACCCATTCTTACATCTGGTTTAAATTCGAATGTGAAAAATCTTTTATACAAAATTTAACATGAGCAAGAGTATTAAAGTACACAACAACAGTGAGAAATTTTTCTGTGAGAGGCATCTGAAGAAATGTTAAGCAACACTGAAGTCAAAACTTACGAAACAACAACTGTAATATTTCGAAACGAGGTGATTGAGAACAGTGAAAATAAAAACTAAATTTGAAAAAGCAAAGCACGCAAAAACTAGCAGACATTGGAGCGAGGTTTCTTTACATACCTCAATCGCAGGAGACCCCGCAAATTCCGAGGAAAAAAAAATCGGGGAAGAAAAACCGGGGAAAGTGGGCGGAGTCGAGAAAAACCGTGCGGCAAAACCGTGCCAGGGTTGCAATTTAGGCTCCGCCCCCTCATGACCGTGTCCAAATGTGCAGAAAAACCCTGCGGCAAAACCGTGCCAGGGTTGCATTTTAGGCTCCGCCCCCGACTCCGCGCACTTTTCCCCGATTTTTTTCCCCGGTTTTTTCTTTCCTCGGAATTTGCGGGGTCTCAAATCGCAGGAGACCCCGCAAAATTTTAGAGCAAATCATCATTTTTCAAGATGGCTTTTCTCCTTAATAAATAAAAATCCACACTAGAGGACGATTCTGTCGAAAAAACTGTTTTGAGGTCGTTTTTAGAAAAAAATTTCGTTCTTGGCTTAATGAAGTTTGATTTTTTTGCTAAAAATTCAATTAAATTGACTTTTTCGGATGGTTGTATGCATTTGGATTAATATTTGTGCTATTAAAAATATATTGGCACATTTGAAAAGTAACATTTTCGAAAAGTTGTCCTAGGCGGGCCGAGCGGGCCGGACCGGGCCGAGGGTTTTGAGGCAAGCGGCCGGCCCGGCCCGGCTCGGCCATCCACATGTATGAAAACAATATTTGAGATGAATCGATTGTCTAGAATCATTTGGACATCGACGATACGAGCAAATCACAACGGAAGAAGCCAACGGAGAACAGCACTGGAGGGTGACAAAGTTTTAGTTCCAGACGAGCCATATAACAGCAAAGTAGGAATTGACCATTTTATTATTAAAATTTAAACTTTTTTTATCAGATTGACAATTCTCTACTTTCAAAAATGCCACCAATCGATTCAAAGTTAATCGCTAACTTAGAAAGGTTATCGCTGGTTCGGTTTGATTCTGAACAAGCTGTTGCAAATTTGCGAAATGCGATTCGAGTGGCAAAACGACTAGAACTTGTTGACACAGAGGTAAATTTCAGTTTTAATAGGCCGTATCAAATGTCCACTATTCAGGGACTTGAGCCGATGTACACAGTTTGGGAAGATCAAGAATGTCCCACATTTGAAGACATCGAAGAAGAACCGCTTCCAATCGAGGAAGTATTCCGAAATGCTCCTGTCCGATTCGATGATTTTTTCGTTACGCCTCCTGGAAATGTGCCTCTCGAATCAAATGAACGATTCGATCTGAATGTAATCAACGAGTGGGACACTATCGGAAAGCCAGTAGCGCCCCAAGCTAAAAGTACAAGATTGGTAGAGGGGAAAGAAAAATAGTTTATTTGCAATTATTAAATGACGATTGATGTCCATAAATATTATACAAGGGTTCCTCGTTTTCTTTTTGTGTTCGGAGTGGCTTCAACTGATGATGATGGAGTTCCTTGAACTGCGAATTTTCCACTTGACGATGAGGAAACAGTTGAAGTGAATCCTTTCCTTTTCAGAGCATCATGAACAATTCGAGCATTCATCGTATATGATTCGGCGGTTTCTCTCTGTAAAGCACAACATTCAACAGATTCAGGAATATAGAACTTACAGCCTCCATTTCTTCCTCCTCTTCTCCTTCCATTGTCGATACTGTTACACTTCCCATCTTTCCTTGATTCTTGACATTTCTCTTCATAATAACTTTCTTGGCACGCTGCTCCTCATTATTACCACTGAAACCACCAACTTGTTGTGCTGATAAAAGAGCGTCTGCGAAGATGAAGGTACGTGAGAGAGCTGATGGATGTTGATAGAATAGTGGAACTGAGCACTTTTTACAAATTTTTCGATACTGTTGCTCCAACCCAATCGATCTTTTGATGTACACCGTTTCCCCTTGTTTCGCAAACGTTTTGGCTGTCGTTCTTTCTGGAGTGATCACACGAGCACCATCTCTTTGCCGTTTTGGCATTCGGTTAATGAGGGTATCACTTATCATCGCCATCTCTCCACAGGTACAATAGTATGTGTACAGTGGTTTCACAAAATATTCTTCTCTATCGTCGACATCGATTATAGCTGCTTCTCCTTGCACTCCACGATCATCTTCCACGTGTGCGATTTCCAAACCATCTGATTTCAAAACACCAGACATTTTTGAGCTGAAAATAAAATTAGATAACTGACTTTTGAACTTTCTCCATGAAAATATACAAATCGTTCAAAAAACGAGTTGGAAACTAGACAAAATGATAAACAACAGGTCATCCATTTTATTAGAATCATGGGTAGCTTCCGATAGAACCGGAAGAGCACGGAGTGTTAAGAAAACGGTAAAAACGAGATTGGATATGGGTGAAAAAAAACGAAGAACACATTCAACAAAACAACGGGTGATGATGCTTATGCTAGTTGAATTTCCCACATAAGCAAAGTAAAAAAACAATAATATGTAAGATAAAATTAAAAGAAAGCGAATAAAGGATGGATAAAAGTGAGACCGAAGCAAGCATTAAAAAATAACGGGTTAATTAATAAAGATGCTCCGTGTTGGAGTTGCGAGGAACCTTGATTTTCTCGTAGTTCTTCATGATCATGTCGTGAAGAGTCGAGAAATGATTGCGCATTTCGAGAACGACCAATCTGAAAATATCCTATTAGAGAACAGAACTAGTGATAACTGATTACCTGATGTTGATAAACTGCTTTTCGTCCATATCCAGAATGGCTCTTCTGTAGTCATCAACATGTGGATACTTGGCAATCTTGGTGATTAGCTTTCCACGGGTGGTGAAGTACCGACTCATCTGATCAAGGAATGAAGCGGCTTCACTCTCGACGTTTCTGACTTCGGATAATGTTTCTTCTTGAATTCCAACCCCGAAGTTGTTTCCGTCCTCGATACGAGGAATCAGAAGAGTGATCCACATTTTGACAGTGTTGCATTGCTCAACAGCGTCACGAAGTCTCGGGCGGACAGTATCCATCAATTGAGCAAGATTCTCGTTGCATGGAACAGTTCCACTAGTGAATGCGTACACTGGAGGGCCAGTTTGCTTGACTACTTCATCGGCGACTCTCTTGCGCTTCGCAGCTGGCTCATCGCTGTCTGTGTTTCCATTCTGAAATTATGTTTTTTTCTGTGATAAACGATTGTTGAATTAAGTCTTACATCTACATCCGGAATCGGAATATTCAGCGATTTGTCAGGGAGAATTTGGGCAAGACGATCGTACGAAAGCTTTGGACTTTTCAGAAGAGCGTCAAACTCGAGCACATTTTTTGGGAATTCTTCCTTCACTATTCTTTCGGCATCTGCGAACAACTTTTGCTTGTATTCAGAAAGCTCTTTGTTTTCCGGATGGGCCTGTTTTTTGGTCATCTTTCAGTGCCTGAAAAGAAACGTGAGTTTGTCGAAAAGAAGATAATAAATTCGGATACTGCAAGTAGCAAAGCGGTTTAAAAACCGATAAAATGAATGGACGAATAAGGGTAGAAAGGAGATTTTTATCTCAAAGTGAGCAAGAATTAAACCGAGATATGTTACCAGAACGTTATAGTCAAAATATACATAGAGAGAAAAAGGTAAAATAATCAGTTCTTTCGTTTCAGAAAATCTATTGTCGTCTCGTGGCACGGCCGTTGATCCATATCCAATGCTCCGAGCACATATTTTCCTTCGGCAGGTTTGAAGTAATCCAGACCACGACCACTTTTCACCACCCAACCATTGTCAAATCTGGAAAAATTCAAATGTTTACAGTATAAAGCAAAATCTGTCCTACATAATTTCTCTATCATGAAGAGTACCGCTGTAATTGACTTGTAACGTTACTCCTCGTTTTTCTAAGCTTCTGAAAAATTTTCAATTGAAACCCTTTTTTTATTCATTCATTATTTGATTAACCCACCTAGCTAACTCTTTGAACTCGTTTTCATTCTTCTGTGCGTCGTTTCCAGTTTTCAGTGTAATAACTAGCAAATTTTCTGATAGTGGGACGATGAGTTCGCAAAATCGAACAAAATTCAAAAGCTGATGGTGAGCGACAATATAGGCATCCTGAACATGAACCATTCGAAGCTTTTTATCGCAGCATCTGGTGAATATTTTTTGATAAGAGTGTCCAATTGAGTTCGCAGATATCCTGTATTGATCAACTTCGGCCTGAGAAGACAATAAATGTTTGAAAACCCATTTTGGTTTCCGCAGATCGCATGAAAACTTACAGCGGTTTTATTGAGATATTCCAATTCTGCCACTTTTCGAACATATATCGCAAAATTCGTCATAATCTTTTCACGATCGGCACTTCCTATCGGCATCATGCTGAAAAATATCAACATAAATTCGCTGATTCTCGACATTTTGAATACCTACCGCATTGCTTGAGCAATTAACTCAATACCTTGCTTATATCTGACCATAGCTCGGTCGATTTTCCCAGCTTTTTCATCATTTACAGCGTCACATAGAATGGGGCCGGCTTTTTTGAGTAATTCTTTTTCTGATGGTGCCATTTATAAGCAGAAAGTGCGATAAGAGTGCGAATTTTTTCGAAACAAGGAAGAAGAAAAAAAAATTAGGTGAAATGCAAACGCGCTCCTCTGGACGTCCAAAATGGCGGGATTTTTTAATATGAGTTTTTCAGCATGAAGTTCATGAATTCGACAATAAAAAAAGAAACAAGAAACTCTTTGAGAACGATTTTTATTCATTCGCAGTCCTTAATCATAATAGCATGTATGTTGTTCAATAGACGAGCGATAGGCGAAAATAGTTAGCATAATAAGAGCCACAAGGAACCACCAGTTAGATTCAGAGTTGTAGAAAAGATTTTCCATTTTTCGAATCATTGAGGCATTTGAAGTAGATTGAATCGCTTTTTCCTCGGCAGAAGCAGTAGGCATAAAAACCAAGGAACTGCTGGAGTCAGATTTCGCTCTTGGAACATTGTTTTGGTTTTGAATGATGATTGGTGGATTGTCAACGGGAGCTGGAAGGATAACAACATTGGATTGAGGCTGAGTTGGAATCTGTGGAACGAGTGGAGGTGAAAGATTGTAGAGTTCGGAGACATTGGAAGATGGTGACATAACCAGTGGTTGCATGATTGGAAGGTTTGGAGATCGGAGTGGAACAGCCACAGGAGCAACCTCGTTGGCAGATGACGGTGGTGTCGCAGGATCTTCCGGCTCCAAATCCGACATTCCGATTTGACCAGGGACCGTGTGAATCTTTAAATAAATCAGCGTTTTTGAGTACAAAACTTTGTCTTTACTTTTTTGGGATCAATCAGTTTGATGGGATGGCTGGCATCTTCATACAATTTACACCAATTACTCTCACGAGAAACAACAGAGTTTGGTGGGGCCAGCAAAGAAGGAGGTCTTGGAGAAGAATACGAACGATGGTGGCGACGACTACGTCCATGTTTGCTTGAACTAGCCTTGCTGAACAATATTGAGAATTATAGAAAGTATACATTTTAAAAAATCATCTTACCTTTTGCAACACTTTGCTTTTTTCTTGCTCTTCTCTTGTTTCCTGTTCTTCTTCTCTCGAATCAAACACTCTCTATATTCCCGTGGTGATAATTCCAATGCAGTCGGAGTGTCATCTGCCTTCTCACAGTTGGCACACGCACATTCAGTCACAACTGGACCTTCTTCTACATGATCTTTATCCGAAACGGGCTCAATCTTTTTAACCTCATCACACTTCACAGCAACCGAATCCATAATGTCCGTTCGAACATTTTTCGTTTTCCAAATTGCACAATCGAGTTGTTCTTCAGCTGGACTTGCAGTATGTTTCGTTCTTGGTGCTCCATCACACTCGTATCTTTTCACCGGTTTCCAGTTGCCACGAAGCGGACGAACATTGAGACGAACACTCACCTAGATTCTATGGGAATTTTCATGATTTACTGAAAAGGATACCTTCGGATTTTTGCTTCCGCGTTTCATTTTTTCCGATGCATGATGCATTTGTCCTAATGATACCAAGTTATGAATACCGTCAAATTGGGGAATGGAGGAATGGATGGGGTAGAGGGAGGATAGGAAAACATTTCTTCGGAGAATCGTGTTTTACGTTTAACCATCACATGTGAAAAGTAGGCCAAATGTGTGAACTCATGTGGTGACTACAGTAATCACACAGCAAAGTTAAGACATCAATTATAAAGGTAATACGCCATTTAGCTTATGAAGCCATTGTCCAAACCTCATTGTCATAGTCAAAAGTGGATACTACAGTAATCCCTCAAAAATTACAGTAACCATTGATTGCAAACTTCTTCAAAGTTTCTCTAATAAGAACATGAACTGGACTTGTCCTTATTTCCTTCCAATGCCCTAGATTCTATAAACTTTGAAACGTTCCGAAAAATCCAGCATATTTTTCACAATTCGTGCCCTAAATGGCGGCACCAACTCCAGTGATAATTCAACTGAACAATGGCGATAAAGTAAATCGTTTTACGGTTTTCAAAAAACTTGGTGCAGGTACATTTGGAGCAGTTTATGCTGTAAGAGATGACAATGGGGCGGAGCATGCGTTGAAGGCGGAGCTAGCAGAAGAGAAGATTCCACTTCTGAAACTGGAATTGTATGTGATGATGAAGTTGACACAGAAAGGAGCAAAGCATATGCCAACGTTAATTGGTAGGAAAATTCTGAATGCAGAATTTGAACCTGCTCAGATTATTTTTAGAAAAGGGAAGGCATGGAAACTTCAATCATATCATCATGAAGTTTCTGGGGAAGTCACTTCAAGACGCAAAGAAAACTGGACCCAATGGACATCTGACTCTTGGATCAGCGATTGGAGCATCGATTCAATGTCTGGAAGCACTTGAAGAACTGCATTGGTGTGGATTCTTGCATCGCGACGTCAAACCAGGAAACTTTTGTTTGGGAAGACCAGAAACCCGAGAATTGAGGAAAATCTTTGTGCTGGATTTTGGATTGTGTCGTCGATTTGTGAATGATCAAAATGTCATGCTACAGCCAAGAAGAAAAGCACCATATCGAGGAACTCCTAGATATGCTCCAATTGCATCCCACAATTTTATGGAGCACGGAAGGAAGGACGATGTCGAGAGTTGGTTTTATATGCTGGTCGATTTCACAAATGCTGCACTTCCCTGGAAAGTCGTCACCCAGATGGAAGAAGTGGGTCAAATGAAAAAGAATTATCGTTTCGATCCAATCATGTCTCAAATGTTTGCTGGATGTCCAGGCGACGAGTATCGCCAAATTATGAAGTACGATACTATTTTCTAAATTGAGAAAAAAACGTATTTATTTCAGTCACATTGATAGTCTCTCGTATTTCATGGAGCCAAATTATGCGTTGATCTACTCCATACTCAAACAACTGATGCAAGCAAAGACAATCAAAGAGCATCCGTATGATTGGGAAGCCGAGTACACTGTTGGAAAATAGATAACTCGAGTTTTCATCTCAATAAAAAAGTGTTTCCTTAATTTCTTGTCTTGCTCATAGTTTACATATTATTCTGGTACAAAAAATCGGAGCTGTGGAAAAGAAACGCCAGTGGCCGTGTCCAAAGATCCCACAGCGACAACTACAGTAACCTAAAAATATTTTATTTCCCTGATTTATTATCTCGATTTTTTTGCGTTTCCAGTCAATTTTTTCAATGTCAAAAACTTAAAAATAACAGAAAACTCGACCTTAATCAGTGAAGAAACAAGATATTAAACCCGGAAAATGAAACTATTTTTAGGTTACTGTAGTTGTTGTTGTGGGACCTTCGACAGCGGCCTCTCTTTCCCATAGCTCCCTTTTTCACCAGAATAATATCTCACTTTTTATTTTTGTTCAAAAAGACTTTTGAAAAAAAGCTACACAACTTGGATCGTTTTTATAAAACTTATTACAACTTCGATTACAAACCTTTCAAGAGAAAAAGAGAAACAAAAACAAAAGAAAACCACATTGAAAAAAATGAATGAGAAAAAGCGAATGAGAGAACGAGATAAATGAAATCAAGAATGTGTATTTTCAATTGTACCCGAAGAGCCATTTGAAGATACTTAAACTTTTGATCAACGAAATCTCACCACTAGTTTAGTACAAACATTGTAGTTTGTAGTGTTTGGGTCGTGGTGGAGAAGTCATTTTTCACAAGCTTATACTTCTTAAAACGGATATCTCAACTGGTTAAAGTTGAAATAACATCAAATTGTACTGAGTTTCAGTCAATTAATACTGAGAAATCATTATGAAACTGAACTAAAGCCGGTGGAAGGAGAAGGGGGAATGGAAGAAAGTATACTAGGGGAGAGGTTATTAGGAATATTATTTTTGAACACCTTCTATAACGAAGGCTAAAAAAAAAAGATAAAAGACTGACTAATTGAGATGACTCCGCAGGTAGAATAATTCCTCCTATCAAAATCAGCTAAAGAAGTTCTGTGGATGAGAGGGGTGTGGGTTTATTACAGTATCACATAAAAGTTAAAAACGGATGAAGGGAGAGATATCGAGTTGGAATTACATGTGAGACCGGAGGGACAGGGACATAAGGAAATGATCAACAGTGGAGCTTGGAATCGGCAAAAGATCTCTTGATGACAAGATTGAAGCAGATGTCGTCCACCGAGCGTCGTTTGTTGGCACGCTTGGCCTGATGAATGGCATCGGTGACAATGCTGGCGGCACTTCCTGGTGAAATCGAAGTATTTGGTGGAGAGGTAGAAGATGGGCTTGGAGTGTTGGTCGTTGGTCCCGATCCAATTCCTGACTCAGCGCTGTCGTAAGAAGCACTAACTGGTTGCTCAGTCTTGACGGAGAGGAAGTCGACTCCGACGGCCTTCACAAGGAGATCCTGAAATGAAAAAAGTTAAAAAATGAATTCAGAACTCACAGTCAGAATTTATTACCTTTCCATCATCAGCCACATCAATATTCTCTTCTTCGGCTCCACTTGTAACATCATCGCATGTCGGTGTCGATGCTGCTTCACCAACGTTGTTGTTACCGATTGATGCCAAGACGGTATCCAAATTAGCTGGTTCTGAACTCTCCATATCGGATGAAGTGGATGTAGCCGACGATGGTTGCATTGGTGTCAAGATTGGAAGCAGAGCGGGGTTGACTTGCATCAGAGTGTTGACCCAGTCAGCTGGAGCAGTCACCTGGGTTGGTGTTTCAACTGGGGCTTGTGATTGTTGAGCCATCAGAAGTCCACTGAGAAGACGCATCAGATGATTTGGATCGGTGTTCATTGTTGGAGCTTCTGGTGAGAAAGAAGCCTCGGATGATCTTTTCTTGGATCGAGGCGTGCGTTCTTCCCCGCGTAGCTCATGTTGAGACAGCGATCCTGCAACTGAACAGAATGAAATTCCCAAAGATAAAAAAAGCAGTTCTACTACAGTACTTAATATAATGTCTATCTCATTACTCACCTGGTTTACGACTGCTCATAGCGATGACCTTTGCATCTCCCGGCAGTCCGGATTTCATCATTGAGTTGTTGTGTGAATGAAGTTCCTTCTTGTCCGGGAACGTCCAATTGCAGCATCCACATGTGAAGACACGATGGATGTCGTGCTGTGTTTGCATGTGACGGCGGATTGTCTCATTGTGTGGGATCTTCGTTGCACACACAAGACACTGTTGGTCGTCTCCATGGAAGTTGAGACGGTGTCGATTGAGCGACGCCGCATGGCAGAACGTTTTACCGCAGTGTCCACAGAGGAACTCGCCCTTGAGATCGGGTCGTTTCAACTCGGCTTCCGGGCGGTAAGGCATAATGATCAAAGATAGAGGTGATACTCTGAAAAGAACAGAAGGTGATAATTGAGATTTTGAAATAGGAGAGACACAATTATGAAGAAGAGACGTAGATAGAAGGAGAAAGTAAAACGTCAAAGTGCACCGGGAGGGTACTGTAGAATTTTGAAATTGTATGCATCATCGCTATTAGAGATGGATAAAATTCAAAAGTAGCCGCGAAAGGAGTGTCACATGTGAAAGGAAAAAGTTTGAAAATTGAAAACATCTCTTTGCTTCAAAATGATATCAAAGTAAAGGGGCATGAAAAGCATGAGAGGGAGAGAAAAAAGTACAAGTAAATAAGTAGGTTGGAAATGATTGGAACACTAGAGAGACGACGAAAAAACAGACGATCTCCTCTGAGGATTATGAGAGTCGTTTGCTACATCGACACCTCGAAACCCCCAGATGGGCGGAGCTAGACCGTACTGCGCGTAGCCCCTCCTTCGGCATGCGGACCTCCCAAGAGAGGAAGAGAACAAGAGACTGTGTGCAATGTAGATACATAGAGATATTGGATAGACGGTCTACCGCATTCTAACGCAACTTACCGCACAAAGCAGCTCCGCCCCTGGAGCTTGAATGATAGGAGAAAGAGTGAGAAGACCCCTAAAAACACAATGATAGGGAGGGCTGTTGGGTCGAGACACGATTGTTGGTGATAGATATATAATGATAAGATAGTAATGTAGATGACAAGTAGTATCAGGGTCACAAGCTATTTGTTTTCTGAGCTGCTGTGAATGCTACAATGGTGGCAGGATGGGAAAACGAAAGAGACGAAGTGGAAGATGGTGGCAACAAAAAAAAAGAAATTAGATAATTTCGTGGGAAAGCTTGGCGGGATGCTTACAAATTAGTTTGCAGAGTACGGTAGATCAAAAATGGGGGAGAAGATCAAAGGAATAATTTTCCAAGGTGGAAAACAATACCTCACCATAATCCTCCTCCATCTCGACAAGCATGTGTATAACCCCACTAAGCCTCTCTCTTTCCCATTACCATATTCAAAACTTGATCAACATTTCCATAGCATTTCCCTCCCTATCTATCGTTTCGAAATGAAAAGTGCATTAACATCAGAAAAGGTGCTTACAGAGAGCTATTAGGAAGGAGACTAGACCAATTAAACCTGTTTTTTGTACATCTGTTGCAATGTCGAGAAGAAAAAAGAGAGGAAGAACAAACATAGAGCTCCCCCTGCCACGTCATCATCATAAAGCTGGGTCGATCTGTCAAGACTTGGTCTGTGGGAAATGACTGTTGCCGCCTATGAAGGACCACCAACACGTCACCGCATGATGCTTATCAACATGAGCGATTGCGCAAGCAGGGGGTTAGTAGATAAAAACCAAGCTAGATGGGGTCACAAGCATTTGAATATACAATACTCCTAATGGATTCCGAGAGAAAGAAGGAAGTGTTGTAAGTAGTGGGTACTGTTGTTCAAAATGGGCAAAACAATAGCGAGCAGGTAGGGTCAACGAGCCGAATACAGAAGACAATAGAGAGCGGTTTCCTGTACTTGGACTCAAATTCCGACGTCGTGTTCCTCTTCCAAGTGTCTCGCAATTAGCAGAAGCTCTTTGTCATACTGAAGTACATGATGTCAACCAAGAAATAAGCTCCACTCAGAAATGGAGCTTCGACTCATATTTTTGCTCCATCTTCCTCCATCTTTTGAAAGAAAATAAAGTGGAGCTGATGTCGTCGACCAATAATAACATCCAATTAGGACCGATTTGACACAGAGACACAGCTCCAACATTGTTGACTCCCTCTTTTGAGCTTTCATCGACTAAACACTGTACAAAAATAAGACATCTTAAGGAGAAGTGACTTCTTCTTCTTCTTCGCCGACTTCTGAGATGGTCATTTTACTCGTGGCCAGTAAAAAAGAAGAAGTCGTTTAGGGAGAAGCCATGAGACAGACTGTTGAAGAGAGAGAATGAGATGGTTGGGATGATTCGAGAAAATTGAGGGCAAAACTGACCTTGGCGAGAACACACGAAGACGAAGTCGAAGCAGTAAGCAGAAAAGATGAAAACTGGTACGGAAAAAATGGAAAAAGAAGGAGATGAAAAAAAGAAAATTGTTAGGGAAAAGTTAGAAGGAGAGGCTGAAGTATTGAGATGGTCAGACAGTGAGTAGAGGACAATCCTTCTTTTCTAGAGGTGTCCGAAACATCCAGAGAAAAGTGAAGTACTGTAGGTCGATAATAGTTTCTGGTTCCGAAATACACAAAAGGTTATAAATAGCTCTCTTCTTGCATTCTTCAGTTTCAGAATGTAATTGAATCTAAATTTTCTTAGCGGGAGATATTCAAAACGAACCACGATTGTTAGGGAACCAGTGCTACTAAATTTGAAGTAACCTACTCGGGCGTCACCGGCAGCTTTTGGTCGGAGGTTGATCAGATTCCGGATAAGGCCGCTACTAAAGCTAAACTTCGGCAAACTTATGACAAGGCTCCCACCTAGTAGAATTTGCACGTCCGTCCAAAAACTGACCATGGGCCGCTATATAGCCGTTTTTGGGCAATTTTCGATCAGAACCTAGCCAATATCCACCCAAAAGCCAAACCCGTGCTAGGTCAGATAAAAAATCTCTAAACTGAATTCACTCTTTTAAAGCCCAAACGATGGCCAACTGCCAATTGGTTAGTCGGTTTCTTTTCATGCTCTTCCCCATCTCTCCACCTCATCCACTTTGCGTGTCAAAAACTGTGACATGCATCTGCAGCAGGTATAGAAAAATAACTCTGTCAATCTGTACAATTACCAAGATCAAGATACGAGCAGTCATAAACAAACAAAAGCTCGATGCATTCCGTTCCGTATCCAATTTAGATTCGAAGGTCTTCTTGCCTTCTGGGAAAGGTTCAGAAATGCTTCTAAAAGGTGTGAATTGACAGAAGAGGAGGAGGACAATGGAATCATTAAGATTAGCAGTATGTGCTACTAGCAACCTACCCATTACATCGTGAAGTGACAACTACAGTACCCCCAGGGAAGAAGCCAACAAAAAAAGAGAATCCTCTTCGTTACGCCATGATTGTAATCCTCTTCTTCTTTACTGCCCATCCTTCTATTTTCTTCTTTTTCCCGATTCAGGGTCATTTACAGTACTGGCCAAAAAGGTATTCGCAAACGGTTTTTTGAGAGTAACTTTGCTGAAACTTAAGGGATCGATCTGAAAATTTTACTGTGCATGTCGTACACGGTGACGACAAATTGCGTACAAGGAAATTGCATCATTTTCAGAAATTTTTTGTTTTTTTCAATTTTTTCAATTTTTTCGTTTTTTCACTTTTTTCATATTTTTATATTTTTGGATATTATGGTTTCTAAGAATGTTGGTTTTGGCTCCTATGTATTTAAAACTGTTTACAGACATGGCCAGACCCCTCGGAAAAAAAAAAACATCTCTCAGGACATCCGTAAAGCCATCGTCATCGGCTTCAGAAGTGGATGTTCCAAGGACCTCTTGGCGCAGCAGTTCAATGTTACTAAACGTGCCATCGAGAAGATCTTGAAGCAGTTTCGGGATGAGGTAATATTCAAAAATAGTATAGTTATGGAAAAAATGTTTAGGGAGCCTTGGTGGAGCGAAAATCGCCTGGAAGACCGCGTATCACGTCGAAGAACATAGATCGGAACATCGTCCGAGTTTCAAGAGAGGATCCCCAGAGGAGTTCTACGGACATTCAGATGGTCGTGAAGACTCCAAATGAAGTCACACCATCCCTGAGAACCGTCAGAAGACGTCTTCAAGATGCTGGACTCCATGGACGACGGCCAGCTAAGAAACCATCGATCAGCAAGAAGAACAGAATCGCCCGCGTAGCATGGGCCAGAGCTCATCTCCACTGGGGACGTCAGGATTGGGCTAATCACGTGTTCAGCGACGAATCCAAGTTCAATCTGTTCGGTACTGACGGTATCAAGTGGATTCGCCGTGCGGTTGGATGTCCGTTCGATCCCAGCTACCAGGTCCAAACCGTCAAGCATGGAGGTGGATCGGTGATGGTCTGGGGCTGCTTCTCTGGGACTTCAATCGGCCCGCTGAGAAGAATTACAAGCATCATGGATCGCTTTGTGTATGAAGACATCTTGGGGAACACAATGAGACCCTGGGCAAGGTCTACTGTGGGCCGGGCGTTCGTTTTCCAACAGGATAACGACCCGAAGCACACCTCGAAGCACATCAAGGAGTGGTTCCGACGCCGCCACGTGGATCTTCTGGACTGGCCAAGTCAATCTCCGGACTTGAATCCGATCGAACACCTCTGGGAGCATGTCGAGAGACAGCTTAGAGGGGTTCGTGCCTCGAATGCCAACCAGAAGTTCGACCAACTCCAAGATGTCTGGCAGGCCATCCCGATGTCTGTCATCGACACCCTTCTCGACTCGATGCCAAGAAGATGTCAAACGGTAATCGACGCCAAAGGCTTCCCAACGAAGTACTAAAGCTATTTTATTCATTTTCTATTATTATTTTTCGTTTACCGGTCTATCCTAGATCTCAGAAGTCAAAGTTCCATTTACCGGTTTTTTGCAATATTCATGAATTTTTCGATTTTTTTTCAATTTTTTGAAATTTTGACTATTCTTGTTGTTGAATCAGTTTCTTTTACCGTTTTAAACTTTGTCTTAAAATATCAGATTGATCGGGAAGTTTCAGAAAAGTTATGCTCGAAAAACTATTTGCGAATACCTTTTTGGCCAGTACTGTAGCTTACCGGTCAGTCAATCAGTCACAAGGTATTTGACCATTAAAGAGAAGCATGAGGAATTTTCGAATTTCGAAAGTATTGTACAAAAGTAAAGAGAATAGGAGCAGAATGCCTCTGAAACAAACATTCAACTTGGGCTTTATGATCGAGAGAAAAAATTAGCATACTGGGGGACGGTTGGAATGCCTAACTTTATCGTTTTTTCGTGATTCAACAAGCACACTCCCTCTTCCCCAAGAGG